TGTCTCACTGTCATGACTTACTGGGACGCTTGAACAGAACAGAGACATTGTTATTAGTAACACCTGTGCTTTCCTTACTGATGAAAAGTCAAAATGTCGGCAGTGAAAAAAGGTTTATACCCAAGCTTTTCTGAGCTTTATCACTCATTTTAGTAGATAGTATAGGAAATATTGGAGTAAAAAAGGGTATTAAAATATTTAATGGAAGCCAACACCAATACAAAATATAAAAACATAATCATCTAACTATTAAACTGTGTTGTGGCATGAAATATATTAGTTCACTTTATAAATACATTTTTGTCTCTACAAGGAGCACAGCAAGACCATTGCACACAGTGCACTGTGTTAACAAATAAATAAATGGAGAGAATAAATAAAGGGTGGATGTGCATATACGTTCCAATTTGGCTATAAGTTCTAATCTATTTGGCTGAGAGAATGAAGAGTGTGATGGGGAGGAGAGAGTACGGAAACACAGTCAGAGATAAAACAAATGACAACAGGGTGAAAGCAAAGACAGGAGAGGAGAGGAGAGGAGAGGACGGGGAAGAAAAAGGATTGGATGTTGGCACGCAGGGAAAGTCAGTCTGCGGTAGACTTGTAAATAGCCGGAGGGACAGAGGGATGGAGGAATGGAGCTATCAGCAGAGAAGTGATGAAGGTCTGGGATCAGGCCAAGATAAACACAGGCCAGCCCAGAAGGAGCTGCAGCACCACACACACACACATTTACACACAAATACACACACGTATGAACTTTACTCACACATACACTTACAAACGCACAAACATACAAACATTTAAGGCCACAGGCACTTCATATTCATCATACACCCACACTGAACACATATATACACTCAGTCATGCACACACACACACCTGCAGACAAATAAACAGTGTACTGTATGGCTCCCAGACCACAACTTCTTGAGTGTTAAGCTGTGTGACAACAGCCTGAGCTGTCATTTAGACATCTCATTTCATCACATACTTCACATTAGTCCATTTGCTAAGATACCACAGAGTAAACACGCAGTGAAAAGAAATGGCTCGAGTTTTAGAGTTAAACATGTGGAATAAACAGACTCAAGAGTTAGCTGAGCCCACTAAAAATCCAGTAAAAGAGTAGTCATTTAAAACACTGCTGCAGCCCTTAGACTGAAAAGAAAAAACATTTTCTCTGTAATTATTAGAAATTGTCGAAGACTAAAATGTATCAATGCGTGGTTGTGTGTCTTTTTTTTGCATGTGTGGTCATGTGTGTTTATCTGCATGCACATGTGTCAGTGTGTTTCATTGTTTGTTCGTGACTGTGTGACTGAGCTTCATTAGTGTGCTATGAAGCGAGAGCTCTCCTGCTCCGTCTTGTCTTTGACCAACCAACAACACCTTGAGTGAAACCTTAAAATTCACTAAATGTTATCTTAAGCGCAGCATTCAGAGGCGTTTGGCAAAACTGCAGTATGAAAGAGCGGCTGTGAAGCGTGTCTGGCTGGAATGCAAAACACTAGTCATGGTCATCACTCTGTCACCATCCAGATTTAGACTTTGAGGACTTATCGTCTCTCTCTCTCTCTCTCTGTGTGTGTGTGTGTGTGTGTGTGTGTGTGTGTGTGTGTGTGTGTGTGTGTGTGTGTGTGACTTTACTGTTTTGGTTCACTCTCAGCGCTCTCATCAACCTTATTTCCAGCCGGAGGCAGCTGTTTTCAGAGGAAAAAGACTATAGGCTACCTGCCCAGCACCAAATGGCAGACAGGCAATGTCAGTGAGCTGCTAAACATAGTTGGTGGAGACCAAAAACAGAGCTAAAAGGAGAGCGAATACCGGATTTACATTTGTTGAGTGGACAGAAACATGACCGCTTTAATTGGCCAGGTCTGTGCACACATTCAAGGAATTTAACTCCGGTTTATGTTGCTCTCAATGTACAAACACAGAATAAGCATAAATAATCTAACAACAAGCTAAACAAAATAGACAGACAACTACTATGTACAGTTATACATATATATAAACAAACAGAAAACAATAACATTTGTAGACTGTAGAGGGCAAAGGATGCTGAAATAAATATTTACATGCAGGTTTCCTTATGTACATGAGGTAGATGGATATGCCAGTATATACAGTATATACAGTATGCCCAGCATGTATTTGAATGATTGTATTAATGTTTTAAGAAAGAAACTGAATTTCAAAAAACAACAAAACTCTAAATGAATGCTAATGTTGCTCCATATCTGCTGGATGTTTAAATAGGTAGCTGTTTGCTAACAAGTTCACCATATCGACGTAAAAGGTGGTATGTCCTTGTCGTGTATGTCCAGTTCAACCCTAGGTTGGGTAAAAAGAGCCTTAACAATCCAGAAAAAGCTGCATAACCAGGACACTGGCTTGAAGATATATTTCTCCTAATTTATTTTCTAATTATCAACCACATCTCTGACTTTGACAACTAGTGAGGTTGCTTAGTTGCAATTTACTTTGCCTCAGTAAGCATATCCATTGATTGTGGCTATTCCATCGCAAAATTCAAGGCCCATAAAGACTTGAAGGTGGATGAAATAAACCCAACAGGTCTGCATGAAATCTTTCTCTGCTGAGATGTTCTGTCTCCTGTAAATGTGCCTGCATAGCTCTTCTCAGAAAACAACAAAGATTAAAAACAATGTCTGCCGAGTAAGTGAGCGCATGTGTGTGAGTGTGTTTTTGAAGCTCCCAGATAATTAATCTCCATGAGTGGAGGTTGTGGATGTAGCGGTGGTACTTGTGGCTTGTGGGTGTATGTTTTATACATAGAGCAGCAACCTGCATGGCAGTTCAAAGCCGCCCTGTGCAGTATGAAGGGGATGAGAGGGGACATGAAAGCAGCACTCAACAACATGTACAGTTCTAAAGATCACAGAGTGATGTGGCAAGGAAGGTGCACCAACATAAACAAATCAAACACACCTTCATTTTAGAGTTTGTCAAATCAAGTGCACCCATATGTCGGGGGTTCTTGATGGCATGGATGCAGCCGATGCCTCGTGGATTGATCTGTAGTGTTACTGATATAAAAGAAATTCACTGGTAAAGTATTCAAGAAAGTGTAAAATCAAGGTAAATGGCAGCCCTTAATTATCTATATTTATATTGATAAAAACATGACTATTAAACATTAGAAATTAGTTTAAAGTATCTTTAAACTTTGTCTCAAACACAGGTGAATTGACGGGGGGGGGAACCCAACTACCAGCTATGACTGCTGGTGCTCATCACCACTTCAAACATTCACTTTATTATGTCGAACCTGACAGTGAACAATGGGAATATTGACAGTCGTGTGTTATGAACAAGCCGGGTTGTTTGAGTATTTTAGCGCGTCGGGCTCCCAGGCGGGCTGTAGCTTTGTGAAAGCCCTGTATTGTATTTCTTTCCTGTGCCAGAGCCCGTTTCCTGTGGCGGTGCCGTGTCAAACGAAGACCCTCTGCTTCCTGCAAGTCGCATGGAGACGGGCCTGCCACGAGCCCTGGGGCCTCACCGCCAGCCACTGAACAACCTCCAACCCCCCGCTCTGTCTGTCTGTGCGTCTGCTTTCAAGTCATTCAACACCTTGCCCTTTTTGGATCTCACTTTTTTTTTTTCCCCGTTACCTCCCTTTAACCCTCGCTTGTTTTATTTAACTCTTATTTCCCTCATCTCTCTTCCCCTACTTCAATTTTGTTATTTGCCACCTCTTCTCCTCCATGTTTCCCTCTGTCCACACCTCTTTTCCTCTTTGCATCCCTTCTTCCCTCCTCCCTTTGTCCCACTGTCCAGGTCAGAAGAGGGTCTGTCAGACATTTCCTGTGCAGGCTGCAGGTCCAGACCACACCTTGTGAGGGGGATTTCTGCAACTACTGTCAGTGACGCCCTATAGAAACACGGAGACATGCACGCTCATGTCTGCATAAATATATACATGGAGCTACTGTACACACTGAGATGTATGGTTGTTTTTGGCGATAAGCTGTGACTGTGCACTGTTGAACTTGCTGTCTGTAAGATAAAAAGAAACTTGTGGGAAATTTTTGAAAAACTGAAAACACGCAGTGTAGAACGACACATTCAACAGGAATTATATCACTGTTCCATCTAGAATAAGCAAAAATAAAAAAAAGCTCAAAGTGTATTTTTACATATTCGGAATAAAATCAGAGTGACTGACCGCTGATAGCTGTTGACCTCCCTTATAAGTCAAGTCCTTGTGTTTTTGTGCACTGAAACAAGACGTTTTTACATCATATGCAAACACCCTAGGGCCACATCTCTGCTTTTGAGTATGAGAAAGCTGTCAAATCAGGCATTTCTATGGGTCCCTAAAGAAATCAACCATATGGCAGGGGTTAAAGACTGACATTTGAAGTGGAACAAGTCAAATCACAACTTCTACGACTAGTATACTTTTAAACAGCTGATATGTGAAACAGAATTTGAGCTTTTATGGTAACAGCCTCACCACATTATAGAGTAACTTTGATCTTGGACAATGTCCCGGCGGTACGTGAGAGCGAGCGCGTGTGCACATTGGCACAGTCCCGCTATGTTCCACACACCAGCATGTCTTTGAATTGGCTTCTCATCTCCTTCCATTCAAGGTCATGAGTGTTTGCCGGCACACGTGTGCCGTCAGCAATAACATACTTTACTGTGCATCTCCGAAATGACTCCTCCAGTCGTCTTCCAGTCCAGGTCAGAGGCAGGAAGTGAGTTGGGAGAAAAGGAGGAAGCAGAAGCAGCTCCCTTTGGCTGCAGGTAGTGACCCTCAACCTTGACCTCCAACCTCAGCCTCCATCAGTCTGACAATACACACTCTGACAAAACACAGATGTGCAGACACAGTGGTGTTGCCTAATTCACACATACTGAAGGAACTGTGTCTGGCAGCTTGTAAATATATAAATCTTTTTATTCTGTCTTCAGGCAACCAGGTATTTAATAGATGTAAACTTAAATAAAGACATTCACATCCAGAATTATAATTTATCTCTTTTTTCTTTATTTGACAACAATAATAACAGCATGTTGTATTTGTTCACTCATTACATTTACAGAAGTGGTCAGGAAAGTTATATGGAGCATGGAGCTGTATGGAATTTGTTCACATAATCATCCATCCTGCTTTCCTTTCTCAAACGATTGATGACACTTGAGGTACCGCTGATGAAGAGACTGTTAGGACATGAGCCCTGTCCAAAACCAACCCTCAGACCATACACAGATAAAGTGCCAAAACCAGCATCCTTTAATGCTCATGTCTGCGCCTGAGGGATTTTAACCTTGATGTGTATCATTGATCTAAGAGTGGTCACGCGTAGTCTAGCAGTTTTTGGACAGAGCGCATGGCTTTAAAAAGGTGTCTGACTTTCTGGAGCTGCCTCACCAGTTCCAGAAGAATAACTTGCTGCCATGTTTGGAAGGCTCCAGTTTGTCCTCGATGACTGGGTTGGGCTCAGGGCGTGGTCTAGAATGGTAAGGGTTCTCAGGAAGGGGCCGCGAGGTCGACACTTTGGTCACCTATGACAGAAAAGGAGCATTCACATCACGACTTGTCAGACAGACAGAAGTGTTAACACACTGAAATAACAGAGTCCTGCAAGGATGTTGTGGTGGTCATGCTTAGTGTTAATGATGAAAATTGAAATAACAAATACACTATCGCATTATATTGGAATTGTACAACATGTATATTGTGAAAATATCTGACAAGACAGCAAATATCTATTGTTTGAAGTCTGGTAAAATCTGTGAGAGATCTAATAATCAAATTGTGAGCAAACAGACTTTCCCCATTGTAGAGCAGGGTTTAAAACCATCAATAATCATCAATATTTTCTTGGAATTAAATGAATCCTTGCATACTCATGTAAACTCTATGCACCACAGAGATGTAAGGACACGAGTTGACATTCGTCATATTCCCTGAACTGCTGAAACCTTGTCTATTTCCCTCATTCTCCTCTCCCTCTTGCAGTACTTCCCTTACATCATGATTTACATTCGCTCTTCTTCATCCTGCTCATCCCTCATACTGTCCCCTGCCCCTTACCTCCTTTGCACTTTCTGTATGACTTTGGGGTCAGGTCTGTCTTTTACTCTTTCCCACTTGTTCCTCACATGTTTTTGTCTTTCTCCAAGACTGGATACCTCCCAGCCTAACTGGATAACTCTCTTTCCTCTCAATTGCCATCGAAATTTAGTTAACTCCAACCATCTTAAACAGAAGTAACTCTTTTCATTTCAAGTCTTTTCATTTGTTATGTGGCTGAGCAACCAGAAAAACTGTGTGTGAACAGTCAAGCTGGTAATTTTCAGAGTAAGTCAGATTTCTGTTCTTTTGTTTCCCTGCTCCTGTTATTTGATTCCATGAACAACAGCTCTGCCTGGCAAGTGTAAAATCGCCTGCAAGTTGATTACAGCGATTCACACTTTCCCAGGTTGACATAAGTGTCTTTTCAAAATCTACAGAAATAAAATGTCCAAAAAAGCTATTGTCAAGATCAGTTTTTGGTCTTGTTTTGATTGCTGCTACCTAATTAGTGCTTGTAGGTGAGTTATGCATGCCCCTTAAAAATGGCAATTTTATGAAAAGAAAAACATAAAATACATGATTTGGCAGCTCAAAACTGTAGCCGAATGAGACTACAACGCAGACGCAATCAGAGCCTCTTGCACAGCCCACAATCAGCAAGAATAGAGCCCATCAACAAAGCTGCTCACACTGTGAGTGCACAGTCAGTCCCTCACAAGTCTCACCTTAGACAGTTCTCCCAGATCAGGTCTCTCCCATCCCAGCTTATCAAGGACGCAGTTGTCGAAAGCTTGCTGCTGCTGACGGCAACGGCGCAGTTCTAGCAAGTTTGAATAATCCAGACAGGTCCAGTACTCCGTGAAGGACTCCGCACAGTTTCCCTTGATTTGCCTACAAGGAACAACGCATACAGAGATTTAGAATAACAATGAAATACAATAATCAATACTAGAACAATATTAAAATAGTCCTTTAAAAAATATTTTATACATATAGTGACAGGAGAGGGAACAAAAGTTTAAAATGATATAATATAGGAATTTCTAAATAAATGTGCCTGAACTGCTACGATTCAAAGTTCACACTCCAACCATGTCAAGAACTTATATTAAATTGTGGTTTATGACTTGTCAGTTCCCACAAGATTTCTGAAGTTTCCATAATAAGAATCGTCTGAACTGGTCATGTGAACGAAGTGCTCCTTAAGGTGGCTGGCAGTTGCCAGAAGCGCCTAAGAATCAAACCAGGTCCCGGGTGCAATTACAACTTTTCTCAAATCTTTCCCCATTATAATAATTACAGGTATTGCTCTTTCACAGTAACTCTCAGTTTAACTTTGAGGTCAGAGTGTCGGTTGTTTGTTTCGGCTTTAGAATTAGAGGTCATGTGTTTTTGTGAGAACCAGAAACACAAGCTGTTTGAGACGCACACACACAAAAAAGCACCTTAGTTACTCCATGGGCATGAGGGTATAACCAAAGCTCAGTCCAAAACTTTCAGTAAACACAGACGCAGCAGTTAAGAGTGAAAAACCCCAGACCACTTCCTCAAACAGCCCCCAGGGGCACTTTTATAGACACAATACACTCTCTAGTACTTTGTATTTACATTTTTCATGTTTTTAAAACACTTTTCTTACTAGTCATTGTTTTAGATAAGAAGCAGAGAAAAATTAAGTATGACAAATGACAATGACAGAGTTCTATACATCATACTTACTAAAAAAACATTTCAAAAAAATAAACAATAAACAAATACAGACAAAAAAACACACTTTTTATGAAATGAAAATGAATATAAAGGGAAGTGAAGATAAAAAAACTTGGTGTTGCATGGTTGTGGGAACTATATGCTGTCACACTGCCGTGCAGTCAAATCCTTTTGGACACAAGTGTTTTAGTAATGAATATAAATGTATCTCTTTGTCCTGTGGTTGGGTTGCTAGGGTATAGGGCTGCACAGCTACAGTCAAAAAAGATAGTAGAAAATAGTAGTCCTAGCTCTTTTGGTTGCCAAAAGAATGGTATTAGTAAATTAGAAAATGTATAAGCCAATATGTTTTGCAATAGGTACACGAGTTGATTTTTTTATTCAGCTTGGTATGGAACAAATAGCTGATATGATCAACGATACTGAATACAATTCGGAAAACAAATGGGATCAAGTTTTGAAATGGGCTTCAGTATTGTGAATTTTCAGTTAATACAGACTACTAGTAGTTGTTTGTTTGTTTGATTGTTGGGTTCTTTGTGTGTCTATCTTGGAATTAGAACATTTTAAAAGCTTTTCCGGAATAAATACTGACTCGATAAGATAATACAAATGATCCAAAAATATACACAGCTGTAAGATTAGAACTCTGACAGAGTACGCTGACACAATGGAAAATAACTTCTGAGACATCTGGCAACATCCCAGGAAAGTTAAAGTAAGTGAAAGTTTGACCAATCTGTTTAGGGTATTGCTGCTTTTCTCACCCATAGCCTTACCTGCTGTGCAGAGTTTTATTCTTGTGTCCATGTGTCAAAAATCCTTAATCTTGATTTTACTTTTCTTTTTTTTTTTAAAACTCAATCATGTATCCTTCCCTCCATTACACTATTAAGAGAATAGTGAAGAATATCAAGGACACCATATGCACCATTTTCACCCTGAATTTCTTAAATATTTTGTAGATGATCAGAAAATCAGCAGACCAATTAAGGTCCAGTACATGGAAATTAATGGACGACTAAAGTGTTATAAACATCCATCGTTAGTTTGGGCAAGAATCAACAAGTTATCTTAAACCCTACTCTCTTTAATTCACCTCAAACCCACAATGTGCACTGAAATAATTATCACAAACTTTGTCTTACATGCCCTTGCATCACTAGTGTCAAATTGCTATTCAATCTACTGGGCGAGGCATCTGCATCCCACTTCTACCAAAAGCAATGAAAAGGAATGCTTATCAGGAGAGGTTACAGAAGAAACCAGACATCCCAACTCTGAAATCGTCTTTTGGTGTCCAGTGTAACCCCTGGAAGAATAACTGTCCAACAGCAGTATTTGGGACCACAGACCACATTTTCTGCCCACATGTCCAACACAGAGGTAGAAATGCAAACTCTTGACCGCAAACCTCTTTTAACCAGGGTTCCACACAGACTCTCCAACTCTGCAGTCAACCCATATCTTTAATCCGATGCTGACCAAAAGCACACTATTCAGTTTTACACAACACAACTGTAGCATCTCTAAAAATGTATAGATTCTGCCTAACCACTAGAGTTCTAGTCTTAATTAAGTCTATTGAGTCTCTAGGAAAAAGATGATCGTTTCAGACATGGTCATGTATTTAGCACCAAAAAGATTTAAAACCCTGACTGTGAGTTACCTGAAGAAGTTGAGTGCACACTCGTTGACTTTCCTCCCTTCGTCTATACACTTCCTGGGGTCTTTCTCCTCCCAGCGGCAGAGCATGAACTCTTTGTTGGGTTTGTCACACTGGGAGCCATAATGGTGAGCAGCAGCCTTCAACACAGCAGAGGACACTTTGATCTGGAAAGAAACGAGGACAGAAACATGGGAAACAATGAGAATGGTTAAAAATACTTACCAAATAAAGAGATACACTAAGACATAATTTAATTCTTGAGGCACAGGATTATTTTTGTGTAGTTATTTAATCAACAAGTGTAAAATAGCCAAAAGAATGTGTTGGATCCAAGATGGATCATTTTAATATTCATCCAGTATGCAGTACTGTTACTTTAAAAGGCCCTTCTATGGACAGGGATTGGAAATTAGCTGTAGCTACAAATGCTGTAATACATTTTATTGCAAATAAATTTTCTACGTTAACTGTATCTGTCCTTATCAAATAAACATGAAATTAAATGAAGCACTGGGAGTGGCTGGAAACTATGAGGCCAATGCCGATGCTCACAAAAGGGTCATATTTATGTTTTATATTGTTTACTAAACTTATGTATTAAAAAAACAAAGAAACAGAGACTTTGTGATTCGAGAGGCAGCTATGAGGTCTGAGCTATTTCTTTATGGACAACCATTTATTCTACTGTCCAGCATTTCTGATAATTATCAACAACAGTCCTCCTGTTGCCAGGTGTGTGAACTATATTGATCTCCTTTCACCACATAACTATCTGTATGATTTCTCATGAGAAGAAAATAACAGTTTGTGAGGTCCCTGGCAATAAAACACTCAATTATACTTCAAAACATCAGTATGAAGTTGATTGTAAAAGGCACTTGCATTGTGCACTACAGTGTTATTGGTGCAAAACGTATTGTTTCTTATGTCCTTGATGTTGATGTGTTATTGCTGGAGAGACACAAGCTGCAGCAAGCTAACACCTGACCTCCAAGGACAAGTTCAAAGTACCTAATATCACTGCTGCTGGCACAAACCGGCCACAGATCTGTTTTGAGGCAGCCAATATAAATTTACTCAAACTGAATCGAAGCTGTAGCGTTAACTGGGACTGTAACGAGTGCCATACAACAGCAAGGAGTTCCTGCATATTGTGATTTCTCTCTATTTAATGTTCCCACGGCGGATAGCACAAAGCAGCCGCGATTTCCAGCCTCAATTTCATTCAGACGTATATTCTCACGGACCTTCTAGCAATCTATGTCATTTAACTAACTCCCACCATTGTGAATGCAGGTCAGATAACGCCAGTGGCAAAAGTTAAGACGCTACCGAGCATACCTTGAACCATACAGCTAACGCTAGCCAGCTAGTTAGCTTAGCATGCTCCGCTCTGACTATTTCTCAAACTAAAACAATAATAAAACTCTCACCTCGTCCACGCTCAGCTCCTGCAGCGAGGGAACTTCTACTGTGGACATGGCTGCGTGTCTGTACAGTAGAACGACCGCAGAGACTCAAATACCGCTGCTGAACAACATCCAAGGTCCTCGTCTAGCTCCAGGACGGGCGACGAGGCGACGGGGAAGGTCAGGTTGGTTTACCGCTACAGTGCCGCTGTCAGCTAACAGACGCGTTCTGATGACGCGAGCTAGAGCGCGACGCATGCGCACTCAAGGAGATGTAAAAGAGTTTTTTTTTTGTTTTGTTTTTTTGTTTTTTTTTTGTTGCACGGATGAACTTTGTATTTTGTTTTGTCGAGTTTAACTTGCGAAATTGTTAAAAGGAGAAAAGTGTACGGAAGGATCCATTGCTCTTCATGCGGAGCAGTTTAATCTGTAGCCTCCCGCTTTGGCTCGCCGTTGCCGCGTTGCCATGGTGACAGTACACCGTTGTGCCGTGTTGCCCAGTCGATGTTAAATCCGTGGTTTGTATGTTTTTCTTGTTCATTTTTAGAAGACTTAGTGCTAGCAGGTCAATTTAGTGATGGAGCTCATCGGAAGCAGTTACAAAGGAGACACCAAAAATGGCAGGTAAATGAATGTCTGTTTCATAAACCTAAAAACAGCAGGACACACACAACCAGACCGTTGATTCAAGTTGACGAAACTTTGTGTGGCCATTATTTTCTCTCCCTCAGGATGCATGGAAAAGGAGAGTACACATTCCCCACAGAGACCAAGTATGTGGGAGAGATGAAAGATGGTATGTTTCATGGCAAAGGAGTGCTACACTTTTCAAATGGAAGTAAATATGAGGCCACCTGGGAAAACGGCATAGCTAAACAGGTGAGGAGTCATTTGTGTGTGTGTGTGTGTGTGTGTGTGTGTGTGTGTGTGTGTGTGTGTGTGTGTCTGCATGCATGTCAGGATATATGCATCTACATGCATGACTGTGTGTTTCACATTGGTTATAGTTGATATTACATCTGGTCTCTTTTAGCAATCACTCACCGTTGTTGTCGTAGTTATTAGGTTTCTCTCCCTTTTCCCTGCATGAAGCTACGGTCTCTCTCCTGCTCTGATGCAATCTTTCATGGGCTTTTGCCACAACAGCGGTCACTCCAATTATTATCATCATTTCAACTGCGGTTCATTTGAAATGATAGCAACTCTAAACCATGACTAACCTTGGCCCAGACTACCCTGCACCTGCATCCATGCCATCCCAAGCAAAGCCACTTCCATTCAAAACAGACCTGAACCATCCCATAAACTTGGAAAATCAAACTCTGGGAATTATATCTGGTACTTCTGATACCTCTTCCTTCAAACAATGATTCTTAGCATGGTGATTGAGGGTTCCCAAACGTAGAGATTCTTTCCTATTTTATTTTACCAAATTAAACAAGCATTTGCATTTTAAAGGGCCGTCCTAAAGGGTTGAAATCCACTGTATGTTAACGTAGGAGAAACTCTAAAACTCTAATTAATATAATAAATGTTTTATTAGAAATCTTGTGGTTGAAGGGTAAATGTCACTGCAACTGCTTTATTTTAAACTCAGCTGCGCCTGTGAAACAACAACAAACATTAAATGAACAGTAACCTCAAATTATATCTGGTGCAGGTTAATAGCAGAATAGCATAGCAGGACAAACACAGATGTAATTGGTAACATTAATCAAGGCTGCATAAGTGTTGTAAGACCTAAGAGCTGAAGCATTGTTAATGTTATTAGTTAAAACTGTTCTTCTACTGCAATGACCAGTCTAAATATCTTCTGTGAAAAAAGGTCTACAGAGAAGACAATGCTATATCTAGCATATGTCTAGCACACTGGTTGCAACCTATCAATCAAATTTTTGATTAATGGGACTGCTCTTCTCCTCTCTTCATTTTTTTTTGTATTTGATCCATCACCAAATATGCACTCCTCCAAAATTACCAAAATAAAATCAGAATTAATGCAATTTTCCTGATTGCAGACCATATTGTTGATACTGAAGTGAAAATGTTGGTATGCATCCAAATTTTGCAAAATTACTGAACAATTTTTATTTATTTTTCATTCCCAGTAACAATGGTATTATTCCTCAGAAAAATATGCACACACACTGTGTGTCAGTTCACCCAAAATACCAAAAGACATATTTTTCCACTTTTCCACTCTGATACTGGTATACAGTATATCTATGTGGACTGTTCTGGTTTTATCTGCTGAGGTTTTGAGATAGCCATCTCTAAGATTTCTGCCTTAACACAAAGACAATGGAAGACAATTTAAATTCTTTTGTGGTGCTTAAAGTACTGAAAAGTGACATTTGAAAACCTCAACAGCAACTTCTTTTCCAGAAACCATGTCTGGGGTACATACTGCAGGATGACTGCCAGACCCCACTTTCAACTGTTTTCACTGGAACTACTTTTTGTCAAAGAAATAGACCCAAGGAAAACTGTCAACAGTGAGACTGTGAATTACCTTGAGTAACATTATTCCTGCTGTTGAGTTATCACTGTTTTGAGACACCACTAGAGGTTAGTGGGAAATTATGTCTTGTTTTGCTTTTGGGAAATTTGGGTGAAGTTTAACCTATGCCAATATACTAAGAATATTTAATCATTGACATTCCTCACCAGGGGTCATTTACCTTTGCTGATGGTCTGCAGTACCAGGAGAAGGACTGGGACTACTGTGATGGTTATGACAGGCGCTTCTACAGTGAGAGGTGCAATGGACTCAGACCTGCAGGTTAGAATTCATGTATTTGCTTATGTATTCGCTTTCTCCTTTATCCTACTACCAAACAAACACACTCACATTTTGAGAAAGAAAACACTGATAATAAGAGAGATTGGGAACAATTTGTGAGTCAGAGGAGCAACACTGCCATTAACTTGAAAAAAAAAGCTTCTTATCATAAAAGCACTTATCTATGTGACAGAATACTTCTCTTGTATTGTACTGAAAGCCTGTCTCACAGAGCTTCTGTTAGTAGTTGTAAACCACAGTAAGATTGCCGTTCAATATAGAACAACTGTTCATACAGGAGAATCTCAGCTAACTGATCTGCATCCGCCACGCGTCATTCCTGATGGATGTTACGATTGTGGAGATGGTTTCTATGACCCCAAAACCAGAGTCATCACTTCTCACACTGGCAGATTCCTCAGGAATGCAGGTGAGACATATAATATCCTGTTATTTTCACTGTTGTAGCCCTGTGACACAACAAATGACTGGCCCATAGGTAATGTGGCCCCTGACTTTGATTTATAATAATAATCCTTTGCTACTAAATAATGGATAGCTTGCAACTTGGACATGTTTTGTAAACTGTGTGCTTGCTATGACGTGACCACTGACATGTTCACAACATCTCTATTGTGATCAAAATCTTACCTCCTTGTCTCTTATTCAAGTGTACTTTGTTCACATTTTTTCCACTAATTTGATGCCAAACTGGCTCCATCTGAGTGTTAAATAATATCCAGGCGTCTTTGTGCCTGTGGTGCCAAGAAAAATAATAAAGATTAAAGTCAAGTGCAAACACAAATTATACAAAGTTTTACATCCATTGAAGCTCCTTGTCAGTGATAGATTGCTGTATGTTAAATGTATTTATATAGTAACTTAATAAAGCAGCATTGCTTGTTTGCATAATTGATCAAAATTCCAGTAATCATGTTGCTATTGATTTAACCAATGTTTCCAGTTGTTGTTTGATATAATTGAATTAGTCAAGGAAAGAAATGCCAACTCATTCCTACACCTCAATATAATTCAAAAGTTAAAAGGCATACAATCAGCCAAATTAGTACTGAGGGAATCATTGCTACTGTCTTGTTATACAATATAGTAGCTCTGTGTAAAATTATGTCTACTTTTCAACAACTTTTCTGAAAACAGGCCGCAGAAAAAGCCATACTGAAAATACTTTGAAACACACTAAAGCTCTTGTACTGAATTTGTCTCAGGCAGGACCCCTTTGTCTTTGCCCATTTTTGAATAACTGCATCTCTGAAAGCATACAGTGCAGCCATATGGGAAGGATTTGATAACAATGAACCTATGGAGTGATGTTAAATGGATTATCCCTGGATTCTCTGATGGAAGATTATTGCTACAAGTCATCTGATAAGCATGCTTCTACAGCATATGCTATTGCAGTCATTTCAAACGTTCTTTTTTTCTTTTCTTATTTGTCAAAAGTGGAAAATTCAAGACACATTTTTCCACTGAACAAGTGCCCAGTTTTGGAACTCCTGATTTGAAGTGAATGCAGTCTGTCAGGTGTCCAGATAGGAATTCCCAAATTCTGACATCCTCTGCTCGTCATGTCTCCCATGATTTTACATCACTAGTCAATGTTGTGAATTAGGCAGCGGGTTATGAATGCAGTCTCTGAATGCACGGCTTTTGGCTCACTAAAGTTTAGTCCAGTTTTATTGCCCCAAAGTTGCACAGCATGTTTTATTGGACATGTGCTGTACAGTCCCTGAACACAGCTTTAGTTACAGGTTCATGCATTGGCAATTTGGACAAAGCTCTCTGGACTCTTTGCTAGTAACTTTGTAACTTTGCTCTTACCGTTTTATTTTGTAAGTGAATTTGACTCTTTTTAACCTTACAAATGCAGACAAGTGTCAAGATATGATTCCTGGCTGAAGTTAGACTGTGACACGAGCTGTGGTATAAATTTATTGGGTAGATTATTTGTATTCTGATGAGCTACTTGCAACATAATACAGATTAGTTCCACAAGCACACACATCTCATTTACATATGTGTAGAGACAGAGGGAAACAGAGGAGAAGATCCACAGCCTCACCAGATGTCATCAGCATGTGTAAGAGGACAAAAATATGTTTTGAGATTCCTTCCTTGATGCAGGTTGTTCATCATCATTACAGCTCTGGTATTGATCAGTGGAGTGGCGCAGAGAGAGAGAGATAGATAGAGGGAGGGAGAGAACAAGAGAGGATGAGAAGGAAAGATTTTTTGGGAGATGAAAAAGAAGAGGAACTGAGCACTTTCCAACAATAGTCTGACTCTGTTTTGATTTAAGTAAATATGGAGTCAGACAGGAACTATTCAATTGATGTGTGTCTTTTTATGCAAGTGTTTATGTGCAAGTTCAGAGGGGTGTGTGGCTTGTGCTACATATCACATACACTACTTACGCCTCCAGTATTTGTGCTCCCCCTTCTCGTCTTGGTATACAATTCTTGAGAAGAATGCCCCTGTATCCTGCATGGATTTATTTTCCAACCCTGGGAGGTGAAGGCACATTTGTCAGAGTGGGTGTGAAGACAGAATTTATTGCCTCATGGCTTCCGCCCAGGATGAGGACTGTGAGGATGATGGGACACAGGGAAGGCCCACCCTCTGTTGGCTGCAGCAAGGAAAGAGGAAGGAGCTCCCCATGTAGCTGTTACAACTGGTGGATGTAGGACAAAGAGGGACTGAGCCGACGAAGACAAAGCCTCATATCTAGAAAAGTTGCAAAAACGATCCGTATGGAAGTGGTTTAAAATGAAGATGATTTACCGCTTTTACCCCCAACACCGTTGCTAGGAAATATCAGACTAAACTTTACTTACTGGCCAAAACTGACCTATTGCAAAAGTCCTGCCCTCCTTAGTTACTGTTGCTAACTTGGACAAACAGTCCTTCTTGGCACAGTGCCAAGTAGCAAAACAATAGGATCTGTTGCTAATATTCCCCAAGAGGTTAAAGATTATTTTTGGAGTTGAACCGATTTCTTGTCATCAAGGAACTGCCGATACGCCTCCATGTATGGAGGGATGTGTGGAGAATACTGGTGCACCATGTTGAAATATATGATGATAGAGGAAACAGAGGGTGGTGAGAGTAAGTGTGTCACTTGGGATTTTTAAGTAGGAAGCTCCCATCATAGATGTATCCAAAGGGTCCAAAAGTAAGCTAAAACATTAACTCTCAACAGTGATCCATACTAGAATGATCATGTTGTTACATTAACTCATAGAATTTATTAAAAATTTAAGACTCATAATTTGTAATTTCGCAAAGGGGTGGATGTAGCTCAGGTGGTCAAACAGGTCGGCCTTAGGGTCGGTGGTTTGTTCCACATGTCGAAGTATCCGAGGTCAAGACACCAAGCCCCAAACTGCTCCTCGACACAGTAGTCAGTTTGGATAACAGCATTTACCAAATAGATGTCACGCAAACAACCCTCTTCATAACTGACTCAGATTCTAATTGATCCACTCAACAAGTCCTTCAAAAACACATCACAAATGTACTCTTTACTCACTGGTTTTGGGCAAGGATCAGGATGCATTTACATGGATTAGTGGAGTCATCGAGAAAAGGGAGCGGTCTTTTCAACCGAAAGATGACAAGTGCCTTCCTTCACTGACACATGAACCCAGCGACTGGACTGACATTGGACTGACATGGTCGTTGCTTCCTGTCTTCTTGTTTAGCAGAAGCAGATGATTGTCCATCATCAGTCACATCTCTTTTCTGATTTAAGGAAAGAAAAACCATCCACTCACAGAATTATTCTTTATTTCATGAATACAATTAGAATTTTAAGTAGCTGCTCAATAGAGTTTACAGCCTTTGAGTAGTCAGCCAAGGAAGCAGACAGGTCATGGATACAAGGTCTTCTCCTGCAATACACAGAAGATGGAAAGAAAGGATTTTGTGTGTGTGTGTGTGTGTGTGTGTGTGTGTGTGTGTGTGTGTGTGTGTGTGTGTGTGTGTGTGTGTGTGTGTGTGTGTTTAAACATGAACATTCAGGGATCACAGACTTTGTTTCTGGCTGTTCTTCTTGAGCATCCAACTACTTTTCTACCACAGTAATCAGTCATTATGTGTTGCACTGCAGTTTATCATCTGTGTCCACTCACCTCGCACTAGGTGAGTAAATCTGAACAAGAACAAGATGCAACAACATGCCAGTGCATTACACACAGCTTGTTAAGTAGCATAGTAGTTTGTGGTCATTTGGATGTTGGTTATTTGTCATGTGACTCACTAAACTGTATTTTATGGCAAAACCTCAAGGCTGAAAGACCTCAGGTGTGTTTTTCATGTCTGAACAAAATTGATTTAAGATGAAATATTTAGATGGCTTACAGGTGAGAAGTTTCATACATTTGTTCGTGCGTGACAAACACAAATAATGAACCAAATTGCATTTCACCTCCGTACATTTAAAAACACAAAACACTGCTTGTTAAACAACTAATGTACAATAATTGAGACTTGAATTTTGATTTATTTTGTTTTTATTGTGACATGAGATCATTACAACAAACATGTGCTTCCACTTACTGTCACCTCACTGTCTCGTATAGTTAACCAGCCCAGCTTAAATAAAGCCAACAGACTGCAACACAATGAAATGATTACTGTTAAATCTGAAACACAAATCAAATAATCAACAAACAACTGTGAAGGGCTATTTTTATCCGCTTTACCACAAACTCCCAGAGACACATAATTGGACTTAATTTGTCATTGGTGATGAAGATTGTACCCAAGTAACAATGTAAAAATGTTTGCATTACTCTATAAATCTGTAATTAAAATAAAAGAATGAGGGGAAAGATACATAGGCCACATCTGCTCAATCAAATCTCCACCACTGACTGATTGAGCATGTTTGGTTATTACAAACAAACACACAGTCAGTTGTGTATATTCTCTCCTGGCAACAGACAGCAACACTCGGTGGCGGCGGTGCAGGACGCGGCAGCAGCTCCAGCAGAGGCCATGTGTTGCCATATTGTTTGTAGCACCTTCCTGTTTCTGGAATAACCGCTTCCCTTTTTAAACTCCGCACAGAAAGAGTTCCACACCAAAAACATTCCACTGCCAAGGAAAACACCTCTGGTGACCAAACTGCGGCCCCTCCCTTTGTCCCCGTCCATCCAAGGTGTTTCACAGACAGATAAAATCAGCCGGGGCCCTGGGGAGTGGAACATATCCTCACGCTGCCTTTCCTGAAACTCTCAATTTTCATGCATCTTTGAGGACAAGAATTCACCATAAAACAGGATTCACATGTTAATCCTGTGAGCTGTGACAGATTGATTATTAATTTTAAAGATCAATATCTCTCCTTCAAAAGCCAGAAAAAAAAAAAACTAAAAAAACTGCTCCAGTTTTCTGTGATGTCACCAAAACACAAAACCAAGGGGCTGCTCCGTTTGCAGTGAATTGGAGACAGATGACTTATGCATGTATATTTGAATGTTTATTTGAGCTTTCACATTTAGGTAAGTTTGATTTCACTGTGGTGCTCCCACTTGGAAACCACAAAATGTGCTCATATTAGCACATACGACCCTGAAGTCAACGAAGTCCAGCTCCTCGTCGCTGTCAGTGGACCAGGTTCAGGATTTGTCCCTTGATGACATCACAGAGAGTCACAGCTCTCCTGTTTGTGCGAACGCCACGCTATCTTTCTATTTCACCAGCGAATCCAGCAGAATGCAACCGTCTCTTATGCAAATTGCTATGGTGCAAGGAAGCTGATTTTTGCTTTTGCTAATTAAGCCAGTGTGTCTGTCATTGTGTGTGTGTGTTTGTTTATCTGTGTGTGTGTTAAGTCACAGCCATTAGGCTGGAAGGAAACACTTTTCCTTCTGAGTGTATTTTAAGGATTAAGATAAACAGACTTTAACAAGGTGCCATTATCGCTTCTATACACTCTCTCTCCTGTGTACATTGCAGAAAGGTCGCCCATGCAGGTTGATACAGTTGAGATGATGTCAACTAAAAAAACAACAACTACTGTTTCATAAACAAGTTTGCTGCTCTTTGCTGAAGATTAAAGCAACGATACAGGCCTATAAAATTGACAGCATTACATTATTTAGAGAACCATACACAGGCTAACATGATTTTATTTGTTTTTATTAGTCTAACTGCAATATCCAAATTCACAGAAATGATGAAAAGATTCATTAGGGAGGGTCTTTAAGTTAAATGTATTGACTTACAAAAACTGGCAAATCACAAAAAATGTCCCGCTGTCCTCAGATTGCAGGAAATTGCCTAAATATATATCAGCCACCTGTACCAATTACATATGACTTAAACCCTGAGATAAACGCTGCTATACAATGTCAAGAGGGCGGAATTACAGCAAATATGAAAACGTCCCAATCTAATGATCATTAAGGCAGGTTGTGGTTTGTGGCTAATTTGAGGTCAGTCTTAACGTAACGACGCAGCGACGTATAGGCTTCAATAATTACCTTCTCCGCTAACAGATGCGTCACAAAGACCGGGCTGGAAGTGTTTGCGTGGCAGCTGTCCGCGTGTCCGATACGTTCAATTGACCTCCCGATCGGAACAGGTAGAAAGAAGCGACATACAGAGAGAAAAGAGAGGAGGAGGAGGAGGAGGGTGTTTTATACTTGAAGTGGCTGTTAGTGTTGACGCCCATCGCTGGCAATTACGCACAATCAGTCCCGCGAGCTGCAGACCTGCTCCTCTTGTACAATGGAGCCCCGCGCGCCGTGGAACCTGCGGGTGAGGCCCGCGAGCTGCTCAAGTGCGTGCAGCTGCGGGCGCTCCAGGGAAAGCTCACTTCCCCTGCAATTAGCTACTCATTTCAGTTTTAACAATGGAAAAACTGGTTTATTATCAGCTCCTCTGGCAGTCGTTTCGGTTTAAAAAAAATTGGCGTCCATGTTTTTTTGGTGGGTGGGGGGTATTATTTATTGGTGTCTGAAGTGGCTCTGAGAAGTTATTTTCTCCTAATTGTCAGGCTTATCTTGATTTGACAAATTTGCCCGAGACTTGAATGGCACTTCACTGTCACAGCCTCACACACAAAATGACCTGTGGTTTAATTATGCAGGCTACTGGTTATTAGAGATTTGATTTGAACGCTTTAAGTGAGTTCAACAGAAAATGAATACAGCTCCTTTCTGTGCACCCTTTAATCTGCGAGTTGGACTTTTTTTTTTCTTCTTCTTCTTCTAATTTAATCACAGGTCAAATGTTTTGAAAAACAATTTACTTTTACTCCAGACTTTGTTTCCAATAATATTAACAAAAAATATCAATGATTTCAAATGAAATCTTTCCAACAGATGACTCTGAACATGAGTGGATTGTGCGGACTTGTCGGAAAGCTTGGGATGAGGTTGCTGGCGTTAATCCCAAGTCTGTTGCAACCAGACCCGAAGAGTCCAGCAGTATCAACTGATACTATTTATTATATTAAAACTGTTGGAAATGTTGATTATTATTATTTTTTCATCTTGTATAAGTCTTTGACATAAAAAGAATGAAAATGAAAACGCTATATTGTTTCCTTTGATGTTATTTATTTCCCTTTGTTGTACATTGAGTTGTAACCACTTCATCTTAATTTCCATATAGCCTGTGTGTGTGTGTGTGTGTGTGTGTGTGTGTGTGTGTTTTAGTGAGGTTTTAAAAAGGAGAGAGTATGAAAATGTACAGGCAGCACAATATGTATCCTGTCTTTCATTTGGTTTGATTAAATAAACATTGATAATTTAAACGTACTGTATGCTGCTGTTTTGAGTTAAGTAGTCGGTTGTGCCAACATACTATGTTTGTTAGAATTGAATCTGATGTCATTGGCATGTCTACCAATCAGAAGCATTTACTCTATGACTGAATAGCAAAAGTCTAAGGGTGTTTTTGTTTTTTGATCATAGCAAATAAAAAAAAGTGTTTTGGCAAAAGAAAGTGATCTGAAACACATAAATGCTTTTCATGGATTCCTGTTTGTTCAATGTGAATGCTCTGCTGATGTCTCACACAGAAGTTTACTTGATACTTATCCCAAATAGTGAGATGTTTGGGCCTATATCTCTTGCACATTCAAAATCCTCTGTCCATTTATGCCATTAAACAAGATCATATATATTTAAGTTTAATGCCGCAGTAGGTCATCATCAAAAAGTTAAATAGTCATATTTAAGGACCAGTTGTATGAGAAGTATGACCCATGCATGATCTCCAAGATGAAATATTCTAAATTATATCTGTTGCTAATGTGCAGGTAACATTAACAGGGCACAGTTCTGCTGTGTGACCGTCTTGTTTTCATTAAAGACCAAACTACTCAACGTATAGTCCCCATGAACTGTCTTTAGCAGAGCATGTGTTGCCCTTTAATCAAATAAACAACCTCTAAAGTTAAAAGATAAAAAATTTAAATCAATAAATAAAGTGAATAAGTGAAGTAAAGGGAATTTTATAGGCAGCAGTCCTGTGCACAAAGGCTTTCCCCAGGATGCACCCTTCCTGCTTCCTAGCAAATACACATTCACAGAAAATGCACACACACAAACACACACACACACACACACACACTAGGATGTACACAACTAGCCACATAAATATGAGCAAAATACACAAACCGGCAACCAAAAAACTAAACATGTACCAAACCACAAAAAACACATAGAAAATATAATTACTTCATATGTATTTATTTTATTTGTACGTTGGTCCAATTGTGCCCAATTTACTTTTTGTGCCGCACATGTTGTTTGGGAAAACAAAAGTGAATTATTGCTTCATTCATTTATCCTAAAAAATGATCCAAAACCACAAAAATATCACATTCTATTTTATTGCATTTTAGTACACAAAACATTTATGATGCACAGTCTATCAAATAAACTTTTTTGTTTCATTTCATGTTTTTTAACAAAAAAACAATTTCAGAGGGAAAAAAGTGCTTTACAGGGATTTACCAACTCAATAAATACAGGGACATTGAGGTCTTGTTGGATCCTGTTCTTCACACAATGGCCATGGCACTAAAATACAGATGCACACTCTCTACCCCTGTCAGTACACACACACACACACACACACACACACACACATACGCACGCACACACACTGAAAAACACACACATGTACAACCCCAGTCTGATTCATATTGTCCATATTGTACCAATACACCAACACTCCATTTCCCTCTTTGTGTGAATGACACACACTCAGAGGCTGAACAAGCAACCTTAGAAATTATAAATAAAAACAATACACTTGTTTGGAAATGTGAAAATATGTAACTTGTCAGATTTTGTAGGAATGTGAAGTTTGACGAGTATGCTCATCCCAGACTTCCTCCGTTTCTCTGCCATTTTAAAGAAATGTAACAGGATTGTGGCGGCTTAATATCTATGAGCTCCCGCTTCTGTTACTGCTGTAATTTAATAATACACCCCCCCCCAGACATTGTGCTTTATGGTTCCTTCATGATTAACAGTCACAGGCTGCCCGTGGACATATTTTGTGATTTTCTACTAACGGAAGATTTAAAATCCTCGTAATTTTGTTCAACACAATTAAGTTAAAAAAAACATCCAAATCTTTCTTTAATGATGAATTATGGGCTGGAATTTAAATTAGCTGATTCACTGCTGTCAACAACTATAGGTTCTGATAATATTGGAAAAGATAAGGCACACAATATTTTTATTCTTTAACAAAAAATCTAATTCTACACCTCATTTCAGTGACCAAATGTAACTGGGAAGTTTCAGTTTTTTTTTTTTTAGATGTCATAAAGTCACATTGTCATTCCTAAAGAAAATTTTTCGAGTCAACATTTTTTCATTTACATGTAGTTTTCCTTCATGGTTGCTTAGAGAGAAAAGAGAGAGGTGTCTTACCTCTAATGTGGCCTATTGTGTGTGCCTGGCCCTTGGGCCACAATGACAGTTTCCCCCTTAAATTTCCCCCTCATTCTTTATCTTCAGTATTCTGACATCATTCAAGAGGCGTCAGTCCTGCTTCCTCGTTCAGTTTCATCCCTTTAAAACTCCCTCCACCTTCAAGTCAGAGGGCGGATGAGTCGAGTGGAGGATGCTGTACATGTGAAGTAAAATGGGTCCTTTTCGGCGGTGTAAAATACAGTCAGTGAGTTCCTGCTAATGATAAATGCTTCACGCTCATTTTTGACAGAGTGGCTGCAGGTGGGATATTCCTGTCCTCAGAAAGAAAAAAAACACAGGGACGGATGTGTCTTAGTTTTTCCTCTTCCTTTCCATTTCTTTTTCTGTTTCCGAGTGGGCAGGGCTCCTGTAAGATGTGTCTTTTCTCCAAGCTGACTCCTGCGTGACCTGTGGTCACAGACGTCAGTGATGGGAGATGAAGGGTTAGGATCCAGAGGTTTAGGGGTCATAAGGGTCATAGTGGTGGAGCACTAGCGGCTGAGGGGGAGCTGGGGCAGCGACATGGTCTGGTGAGGGAGACTCTGAGAGGTCAGCACAGAGAAGGGATGACCTGGAGAACACACAGTAGAATGCAAAAAAATTAAAATAGTGAAATAAAGAAAACAAATCTGCATCAGAAACCTAATAAAAAAGCCTATTGGCTCCACAAAAATCAACTTCAACTCACTGTCGATGTACCCATGAAGGGCCACCATGCGCGCCCGCTCAGGACTGCCAAAGGGGGAGTAATGCAGCTCATCGGGCAGGGACGAGGGTATCCTGGACTGGGGATGACCTTGGGGAGCCCCACTGTGCTGGGGCGTGTGCTTTTTGTGTCTTGCTCTGCAGTTTTGAAACCACACCTATGAAGACGCAATGTAACCAGACATCATGTAGCTATATTCTTGAATAGAATATGTGGATTTATTTCAGAAAGTACGTTTTTAAAAATCACAAATGACAGACAAAACTGTGCAAATATATTTAGTAATATAGGTGTGCATATCATATACAGCTACAACTACTATAACATAAATAGATTAATTACCAAAGTGTTGATGTCTTTGTACTGACCTGTATAACTCTCCTGCTGAGGCCTGTCATGTCGGCTAGTTTCTGTAGCGTCTGGGCATCTGGATTGTTGTCCTGGGCAAACTGAGCCTGCATGATCTGCATAATGAGACAAAGCATCAAATCAGATGTTGCTTAAATCAGTTTATTGCACAGACCATGAAATACTGGATTTGGGCTTCAAATATGGTGACAGGGTTACACATTCACAAAATAAGCTGAAAACTGTATAAGAACCATATTAGTTGTAAGCTGAGATTGGTGTGATGTGTGTGTCTGACCTGTAGTTGTTCTGCAGTGAAGGATGTTCGTGCCCTTTTGGCCGGTTTAGGTTGACTGTCTTGTTCTGTTGGAACTGCTCCTTCTAACGTGATACCATTGCCTGAAAAACAGCAGACATGTGAGATGACAGACAAATGTGTTAACCATTTAAAATGTCAAAGACAGTCCCAGGAGATGTATTTAGGACATGGACACGGTATCAAAAGTGACTTTATTTCTTTTTTTCCTCATTTTGGAGGGAGGCTTGAGCTCCTGTAACATGATCAACTAATCCACTCATTGTTTAGGAATCCATCAAAACCGGCCAGACATACTAAATCATCAATAATATAAAAATTAAATGATAAGAAATAGTAATTTTGTGCAATGGTAAATTATGCAATAATTTTTGGCTCACAAAACAATATAAATTACATTAAAATTCACAAAACCAGATAACCTCTCTTGTGGAAAGACTGTTGAGCAAACATCTGGGCAAACAACAGTGAATTTGCCAGAATTTGCTACTTACCACTCTCTGCCGCTCGTTTGAGATTCTCCACCATGGTGTCGTAGTGGATCCTACACAGGACCTTATCCTCCACCAAGCCAAACTCCTCTCCCGTGGACAACTGCCTCTTACACGAGTAGCACGCAAAACATGCCAAGTGGTATGCATTTCCCCTTGCACGGCGCACCCAGTCGCTGGCGTATATCTGCCGCCCACAGCGGGCACACTTAGTACCAAACCTACTGTGAGGGAGAGAAAAAGGAGAACAGAGGCAGTAGAGAAGAAGTAGGAGAGAGAGAAACAGAACAAGGAATTAGTGAGACGTAGGTGGGGTATAAGCAGCATTGCGGTCGAGAAAATTGCAATTTAAATCTTATCTCAAGGCCATTTTCCAGATAGTACACACATAGAATTAAACATGCACAGACATCCTTTTCTTTGAGAATATGTTGAGAGAGCTGAAGTTGAAAATAAGTGTTTTTAAACTTAAAGTTTTGGCAGAACTCAAATGGTTTAAGGAAGAAACCTTGGAGGAGGATATGGCCTTCAAAAAAGACTCCTGACTGCGGCTGCAAGCTGAGCCTTGAATGCAAACAAACCAACACCTGCAATTTCCTGGCTGATGCCTGAAGGCCCTGACATGTACACACACTCGCACACAAACACAGACAGACACACACACACACACACACACACACACACACCAGGAAACACACCAACACACATGCAAACCGGGGTGGTTTTACACACAGTGGAAGATGAAGAAAAACTTGGATGACATCATTCGAGATCGCCACGGTGTAACTGATAGCAACGGTGAGGTCAGGCAGCATATAAACCTAAACCACCTGACTTACTGTTCTGAAGGGGTTGGTGGTGTTGGGGGGCAGGGCGGTCGAGGGGCACAGAGGGGAGACGATGAAAGATCAATGGACAGAAATTTACAGAAGGAGAGAGGCAAGAGTCAGCAAATGCTTTAAGATGATTCATCATGAGCTCCAGACAAGATATTAATATCTGAAATATGTGAACGTGTATAAATGTGACCGAGGGCAGAATGAGACAAATAGAAGGGTGAAAGAGCATAAGGGCAGAGACAAAGACTGCCAAGAGTTTTTCTTTTTCATTCTTAAAGCATAAGGCTGGTGTTATTATAATTCCCTTGCTGTCAACTAAGCCCACAAAAAGACCAAAACCAATAATGTGTTAGTCTTGTTTTTTTTAACTTCCCTACACTACAATCCCATTTAATCTCATAAGATATATTTTAAAATGGATTAAAAATATTCAATTTCATTTTTCTTAGAGGTTTGAGTAGTTTCCTAGAACACAAACGAGTGAATACTAAATATGATGAGGGACTATTTTCAGCGGCGTATTAAAAGACATTTGGTGTTATAGCCAGTTTTTACAGAAGCAGGGCAGAAGTTTTAAATGATAGAGGTCCTAAAGGAATAAGCTATATCTGGCTTTGGCTACACAGACAGTATTTGGTTAGTTTTGGTCTTTTTAAATGGGATTTGTTGAAAATACGAAAAATATAGAATATCACTAGCCTTATCCTTTAACTGAGCAGCTGGCACTGTGGAGTATCCAGAAAAAGTCCACTTTAATGCAGCCAAAATATTATACAAATGTTCTGTTTTACACCAGAATCAAAAGAGCATTATGGGTTTAATGGGTATAAAATGCTTTAGGTTTGAGAAGGTTATGGGTAGGTTAAGAGCCATTGTTGGGGGTCAGCAGCTGCCAATTCTGGTGAAGGAGGCAGGATTTGTAAGTAGTCCGTGAGAAAGTGCTGCCTCAAGGGTAAAACTGGGGGCAAGAAGAATAACGGCAAAGCTTATTGCCTGGTTTTAGCTCAAATTAGAAACATTTCCATATTGATGGGATTGTTCTGTAAAGCTGGCAGTGACACAGATGACACATGTTTTACCAACACGTGTAGCTACTTCTTCCTTTACTCTGCCTTATTTCAGGAAAAACTCACAGAAGCAGCACAGCATCACAAACATGAGCCAAATTCAAAGAGCAGTCACTGGTTGAAGACCTGGTGAGGGCAGGATGAAAAGAATTGACATGGAGAGAGGAAGTAAGTGGCTGAGGGAAATAGCAAAGTAAAGAGCGTCGATGGCAGAGAGAGAGGGAGCAGGGGGACAGAGAGCAACGAGGGTTGCCAAGTGAGTGGGTTTGGCAGCGCACCAGTGCACTCGAGTCCACTCTATCTGGGATGAAAGCATACTATAGTCCTGACATCTCGCAAACTCGCTGTATATGAAGCTTGTTGGCCAGGAGTTTTATTTTCCTGTATGCTGCATGGTAAAGAATATTTATAGGTCAACCATAAATGCCTACTGTTTGGGGATCTGCTTCTTATCTGTCTCATTCCGCATCTGTCTGTGTGCCCTCCCAGCGTGCTGTCAAGTAAACTAGATTTCATTAACAAAACAATGCCCAAATAAAACACAGAGCATCTACGTTTTGCCAGGCCTGGTATTCCTCATAACAAACAAATTCAGATTTACAAATTAAGAGCAGAGAAACAAGGAGGAAAAAAGTCTTTGTGGTGACCTTGAAATAAAATTAGCTGGTATAGCACTTACAGAGGGCTTAAGTTGTCACAGATACGTGCAACTTAACCAAAAAACCTCTTATAACCCAATAAAGCCATTCCGGAGACAAATCGACTCCAGGGCTTACTGTACTGTGTGTTCGTATCATTTCAGATTGTTATGGAGAATTCCAGGCCGTTTCTACAGTAAAGAGGAAAACATTGTGGAACATTGCGGCTAATCCAGCATGACAGCTTGTCAGTTTCATGCTCCGAGACAGAACCCAGAAAAGCTGCAAATCATCCCTCGTTTTAACCCCCCAACCTCCACCCTCACCCCTCCCTCTTCCTACCCCCATCTATTTTTTTTTTTTTTTTTTGTATCTCGTTTTGTACTGGTGTTTATTTTGGAGCACCGTCAATCCTCACGGCCCCCCTATATCACTCACAAGAGGGAAAATCCTACACCGCAAAACTCCCTTTTCCCCCAGACCTCTCCTATTTGCTCCCCTTCTTTGGTCTAATCTTTACGGGTTTTTTTCCAGTAATTCACCTGCTGCTGAAAGAGGGGCTTGAGGAGGTACACATTTTTTGGATTATTTCTGATGTGCTATGAGAATACTCTAATCTCTATTAGATTTGTCCTAAGAGATTTCTTGCTTGACTGTGCGGTTTTTAAGACGCGAGCTTCGTGTTAGATGGAATCAAATACTTTACAGACAACTTCTTTTAACAGATTTGATACATTATCAAGCTTTAACATGTTAACCCTGCACAGAAGAAACCTTAACATTTGTATTCTCTGTTCTTTGAGGCTGCAGTAACTGTGAACACAGGCAGTTTTCTCTCTAATAACCAATCTGCTTTACAAAATGAATCATCTATTTCAATGCTTTGACTGAGCAGTCTTTATTTAAATGTGTAGCATTGTGTGACAGATGTCTTATTATAATTTTAATTCATTCAGTTCTTAATAAAAACTCAAATCACTCTGTACTTGTCTTTGTTGCTATGGAGACCTAATCAGCTAACCAGAGGTGGGTTGATGAATAATTATTGTTACAATACTCTCTCTCTCTCTCACACACACACACACACACACACACACTCACACACGCATAAAGAGACACGTACACATGCACACACACCTCACCCACAAAGTTCCCTACAAACACGGACTCTGGTTACACTGTCAGTATCCCAGGGTGCCCCTGATTAGTGCAGCAATGCAACTTCCTGTGTGGCCTGCAGCTCACGGACGAGGATGATGTTTCTACGGAGCGAGGCAAGGGAGGGTTGCGGGGAGGCGAGGGGGTTCAGGGGAGGAGGCTGATAAAGCAATGGTTTGCGTGTGTGTATGTGTGTGTGTGTGTGTGTGTGTGTGTGTGTGTGTGTGTGTGTGTGTGTGTGTGTGTGTGAGCAAGCCCCTGGGGCCTGACATGGGTTTGAGGGGCACAGCGTGGACTCTGTCCTGCACCCCCCTATGCTGACATACACACACCACCTTCCTCCCCCCATACACACATACACACACACGTATAAGGAGGGAAACCCAGTCTGATTTCCTGCTATTACGCCCCATTAAAGCAACTGTCAGTCCAAAGCCAGATGAGAGGCTGACACAGATGAGGAAATATCTCCAGAGGTTTGAAACCAGCCCAGAGGATCTGGACTCGCAGTGGTGTTTAGCCTAGTTTAAATCTGGCCTAAACCCAGATTATAGTTTATATTTACAGAAGTAACCATCGTACAGGCCCCAGCCCTGCAGAAAAGCTTCACTGTTATTCCAAGTTTTTCTAAATAAAAATTCTTGCTTTCCAGTGTGACTACCAAGGAAATCTAATCTAAACCTACAAATATTATTATGCAAATGAGGAGTATTGCGTTCCAGACAGAGCTGTAGTTCAACAGTTTGACCTTGCAGACTATCAAATCAAATTTATTATCACTTTTCCTGTCATCCCTATCGAGAGTGAATGCTGTGTTTTTTGTCATATGTTCAGGCTCTGTCTATGAACCTTTGAAACTCATAAATTACTAGTTTTATATCTTGTGACGGTGGTTGTTTTGACATATGAAACGTCTATGAAAGCCAACTGTAAATTGCATCAGTCATCAAAAAATATTTAAGAAAAGCAATTAAGTTCATGGCTATACTGCCTTACAAACGCAGAGAGCAGTAACTACGCAGTCCTGGAAGTTGGGAATAAAAGAATATCAAGTGTCAAACATTAATTTAGGCTACACCCTTGGTGTCTACAAACAAAATATGCTCTTAGCTTTCTTGTCCATTTGAACAAATGAATAAATTAAACTACAAATTTTAATATGTGATTTAGGCTAAATGCAGTTTAACTAAAGATTACAATCACTGTTTCTCTGCTAAGCTAGGCTAGTTAGATTTAACAGAACTAATTTACGATATCTAGTGTTTTTTCTCCATTTAGGTACTGCATTATTTATGTGGTATAACAAATCCAGTTATTAAGATGTGGGAGCATTCAATAGATTTTTCAAGTACGGGAAACAGGTTGGAAAGTGGGCAGAAATTAGCTTTAGCTATGGCTAGCTGTGGCTCACCGGCTACCTCGAATTACCCAGAATGCAGTCACTGCAGTTTGGTCTAATTCTGTAGTCCCTGCAATACAATACATGTTGTTCTGTTTTTAAAATTACACCTTTCTATGGTATAAACATTTTCATATTGTAAAACCGATGTCAAAGGTGGTCTCTGGTCTTAACTCAGTTGGGTTTTGAATGTGAAGCTGTTCAGTTCTTTATTTAATGGACTCATAATTTGAGCTATTATAGGCAACAAGACCCTGTCTTATACATTTTTCCAAATGTAAGTGGACAGCATTAGTCTACTGTGCATGTAGTGCGTCTTTAATATACAGTAGTCCTTTAGAAATTTATGGTGAAACTTGTAATCCTTATCCTCGTGGGTCAGTAATTAGTGTGAACACATTTATTGCTTCTATATTCAGCCACGCTTTTTGTATTTCATATAATCACAGTGTAGGATTTCTCTGATGAGCATATAATAATATGTGACCCAGTGACAACTACAGCTGTACGGCTCATTACCATTTTCTAATGCCCTGACATATTTTGAAACCACTCTGCATGTTTGAGAGCGAGAGGGGTGAATGGTGAAGGAGCATTTAAATGGAGACGGGTCAGATAAAATATTATTATGATGTGGCAGAGCAAACACAAAAATCTCCATTTTGTGAAAAAATGAACAAAATGATTGGCAGCTGCTGGACATGCATAAATAAACAGAGATCTCAGTGTATGTTTATGTGTGTGGCTGTGTCGGCGTGCAAGTGTGTGTCAGTGTGTGTACGTTCATTTGAGTTGTAAAAGGAGGCAATGTGTACAGTGCATTCTTGCTAATTTATGCATTTAAGTGTTTCATATTCATGTTTTCATATTTAGGTGTGTGTCTCTGTGTAAGTGTGCACATATCTGTCTCAGTGTGTGTGTGTGTTTTTAGTTTGGATATAGGAGACACATTCAGATCAGAAACATGCTGACCAGGCACTTGGGGCGGTCTAATTGATGGTCTGGAGGCCTGAGGGTCTGGGGTGGAGGACAACTAATTGCTGGTGATTATAAACCTCAGAGCGGTGGCTTGGTGTCAGGTTTCGATCAGACAAACACCAAAGATCACTCACAGGTCCAAGCACTCGCACATGCACACACGCACAGACTGACGTGCACAGACATGCATGTGTGTCCATTCAACATAAAGCTCACCAGCTTCAGGCTACAGCATAGAATTTTACTATTATGTTGTTGCTGGTGTGAACCCTCATATATGCTGTCAATGTGTGAACCCCATTTAACCTCAGATACCACACACACACACACACACACACACACACACACACACAGTCGAAAAAGTGAAAAAAATCTATGAGTGAAAACATCAGTTATTCCTCCTCTGATACATGAAAGACAGGGTGCTGAATGAATGTAAATAGACTAAATTCAACACTGAATTACAATTCATCCCTGCATCACTATCTTTATTGGTTTAGCCTAGTGTCTTTCAATGCTGCGTGAAAATAAGAAAATTGTCAACTAAAAGATAGATAGATAGATAGATAGATAGATAGATAGATAGATAGATAGATAGATAGATAGATAGATAGATAGATAGATAGAGTGCGTTGATGGATAGAAAAATACACTGACCGATTGTAAATATCTCACAACATTATTATTATTTATTGCACTTGAAGACAATTAGGCTAATTGTATTCTTAAATTATATTAATAACAATGATGTGATGTTTTTTATTATTAGAATAGGCCTATAGCTTTATTTCAGGACATTTTTTCAAAATTTAATTGATGATGATAATAATAATAATAATAATAATAATACCTGTTTTTATCCCTTTTCACTCTAATAGATAATAGTAGTTCATTGATGTGAACTAGAAATAAGATAGATAATAGAGTTTAGGTATTTTTCTCTTTCTTATGTGAGTTGTGAGTTTTGTGAGTAGCACTTTGTCTGCCTATAGGGACCGACTAAACTCAGACAGCTACACACTCAAACGGACATTTCCGGCGATTTCCGCTCGTTTCACGTGCCCCTCTCCCGACTACAAAACAACCACCGCGAGCGTCGGTGTCACGTGGTGCATTAACTGTACGTTAAAGACTGATAACTGCTGTGTGTGTGTGTGTGTGTGTGTGTGTGTGTGTGTGTGTGTGTGTGTGTGTGTGTGTGTGTGTGTGTGTGTGTGTGTGTGTGTTTATTTATAACAAAACATGGGAGAATTCTGGCCTATAATATTGTGGACGAATAAAAACAGGTCCAATCTGGTCCGACATGGTCCACGGGATATTAATCACTTCTATAGGCTAATGTTATTCCAAAGCGCCACTCACAGTCTGATACGATCTGAGTGGTGAAACGTGGTCAAAAAACATCAACCCCGAAAAAGCATATAGCCTGTATATAACGACCAAAAACTACAATACTCCCATTTAAGGTTTGTTTCGTTAGATAAAAACACACGCTTTCCCAAAATGCATTCTGGTAGTCCAGATATTTGTTTTTTTCCCCCTAGCTACTGGAAATGTTGTTTTTTTGGATAGCCATAACAAACCGGAAGATCTTTCAGCTGCGCACTGCAGTTAAAGACTTTTATTTTGTTACACACTTTGAGAGTTTTTGAAAAGGTCTTTCAAGAACACATGAGGCAACCCGCATCCCTCTCAAAGGAAGTGTGTGTGCATATGTGTGTGTGGGTGTGTGTGTGTGTGGTGTGTGTGTGAGAGAGAGAGAGGGAGAAAGGGAGAGAGAGAGGGGGAGATGCTAACAGAGTAGACATGGTATTTTGAAAACATGGTCATAAACTTACCCTACCTGAAATAATCCATTTTACAGAAGATCTCTTTGTTTTTGATGTAGCAGCTGCTGTGCTGACGTAGCGACGTCCTGCAGACGGAACACTCCAGACAGCGCACGTGCCAGATCAGGTTGTTCACCTGCGAAGAGACAACATCACACACACACACACACACACACACACACACACACACACACACACACACACACACACACACACTGATAAGCAGGGACATGGATAATGTGTGTGTGTGTGTGTGTGTGTGTGTGTGTGTGTGTGTGTGTGTGTGTGTGTGTGTGTGTGTGTGTTGTCTCAATCGATGTAATAATAATTTAAGGTATTATTGCCTAATGCCAACACAAAAATAATTCTATATAATTTCCATATCTAACAATGAAGCTTAATAAGGAGAGAAGGGAGAAGGAAGTATTATAACTGACATACAATGGTATCATTTTAATATCATTCAGTGAGTCTGGGTTGCCGACCTATGACTTTACAGATCGGTCGTGCTTTCATGAGTTTTCTGATATAGCAAAACTATTTTATACTTAAGTCTAATATTGTTAAATGGACTTAATAATTGGCGATTGGCTTATACGAAAGGGTAAAGACTAATATTACTGCTCAAATGAATGAATATTGTGAAGTATCGAACCCTAAAGCATCCTATTTGGGACATATGCAACATTTTCGTTCAACAGCAATTTATATTTAACAACACGAGGAAAAACACACACAATTATCAGGCGTAAAAAAAAGAGAAACAAATAGGGACAAATCTGTAATATGTGGCTGTTGAAATGATTTACATCCGTTTTGGATAGTATTTTCATCTCGGTGTCCATTTTCAAAATATTTCACATGCATGAATTAATTCATTATTATCACAAAATAACCTCACACTGCTCTGTTGATTTTAGAATATGGTTTTGTTAAAATGAAGCTCATGACCATTATCCTGCTCAATGAACTTAATGTTTATAGATTTGATTGATGACAATTTTATCTACCAAAGAATAATCTATGTCTATATATTAGATCTGCTCAGATTAATTTATTTACAGATTTACACAAGAGGGCTAATTATTTTCTATAAAAATAAATAGAATAAAGATTAAAAAAGTGCTGCACACAACAGAGTTTAATGTATTATAAGAACATATATTATCATGTTATCTATTTTTTTATTTATTGTTTGCAAATTACTCAACAACAAAAAAATCAGTGTTTTTTTCCGGTCAGTTGTATAAAAAAATATTTTAAAGATTATTACAGAGAAGCTACAGCTTCAGATAATATTCTAACAGGCCTGGACTTCGACATAACAATAAAAAATAAATATTTTCAGTCTTATTAGTTTAATTTTGAAATTTAAAAAAACACCATAGCCTAAATATTTATTTTACCTCTAATTAAATAATTAAATAAAACAAGCTCATAATATTTCGTGTTTTTTTTTTTTTTTTTTTTTTTTTTTTTTTAGCAATTAAGTGAACGTGTTCTGCAGACTGAGACCAAACCACAATCAGATAATGGACTAATGATCTTCACACTTCCTGACAAACACACCCATTTGCGCGCGACTAAAGGCTGCCTGGGATGGAAGCACGCGAGCGCACGCGACAAGACATGGCTGTCTGTTGACAGTGAGGCTGTAAAAGAGTCAAAACACCAAAACAGCCCTGTTGTGGCTGCGGTCTCCCAAACACCGTCTGTTTTTGTTGCCGAACATTTTACGGTGCAGATACCGTCTGTTAAATTTAGAAACGGATTGTTTCTTTATGTATCTTTATACAACTAATTATAAAATAGTTATACATGTATTATAATCTGCAGGCGTGTTTCTAGGCTACCTTTATTCGATATCATAAGACACATGTGGGTGACATATTTCGTCCCTCTTTAGTTTTGTAGTTTCATCTCTGCCTGGTGTTTTTTTATTATTATTATTTTCAGAGTATAAATGCAACAGTGAGGACGCCTAAAGTTCAGTCCAGGCCTTCAGTTGAATCCACAAACCCAACAGATAGTCCAACCCCGAAAGAGAAAAATGGCACCCTGCTTCACTTTGTTTCTGCTGCTGTTGTAGACAAGCTGTTTGTTGCAAACGCCGGCGTAAAAAAGGGAGTAAACAAATAAACAAGACGCCTCCAGAAGAAAATAAATTCTAGTCCCGGGTGCCAGACAAGCAATTTCAGCCTGTTTTAGTCGAAGCTTTACGGTCGGCCTCTCACCTTCAGCAAGTATCTGTCCACGATCTCCTGACCGCAGCTGGCGCACATGTTCTTCCCGGTGGACGGCACCGAGCTGGTGGTGGAGATCGGCGAGCACACGGAGGGGGTGGACGGGGTGCTGGGGGACGAGCGAGTGTCGTCCCGCTCCATGTTGGACCGCTGGGATTCTCCGTCCGAGTGAGACTGCAAGAGGGCATCAGCACAGCTCAGTAACACACAGAATAATCCTCATCCCCACAGTGCCACTATTGCAGATGTCGCCATGTTTTCATGACGCGCGCATATATTCAACAAATATATATATATATATATATATATATATATATATATATATATATATATTTAAAAAATCTTAAATTTATGTGCATAAATCCTGTCTATATGTCCCGCATGCACTGGAGGCGCACGGGACCAAAAGCGGTCAACTGCGGCGCGCAAATAGGCGCACTGAATGATCCAGACATGTTGTTTTTTTTAAAAGCATAAATAGGCAATAAAGCTCTCACCATTGGCGCGTGTTTAGAGTCCACACTGCAGCGCGAGGCTCCCGGTGTACTCTGATGCTCGGTAGAGATCACCTATAAGACAACGTTCAGTAAAGTCTTCATCACTTTCCCCGTCTCATCCTCAGCTGAGAAACCCTCGGGAGACATTTGCAGACAGCTCTTGAGGGCTACTCCTATATAAAGTAGTCCTGACAATAAACCCCGGTTAAAACTGTTAAAAGGGGCCCCCGCAACAAAAGGCACATTTTAATGAAGCTATTTCAATTTGGATTGATTTTTCCCTTCCCCTTAACCCATGCCTCTCAGAATAATAGTATTTTCTTCGCAATCCAGGACACGAGAGTGGAGGGGGGAAAAACTACCTGTAATTACAAATAGCTTGAAACGCTGTGGATAAGAGGGACCCGGAGTGTCAATTTCAACTGTCAATCAGAAAAAGGCAACGGGTCACCCAAAGAATTGCAAATTTGATTTTTAATGGCTGTAATTAAAATCCAATTCTTCTCAGACGAATTGGCAGCGCTCGAGAGGCTCGCGGACCGCAAATCACGCTATTCATAACAGAGTGGCGCGTGCCTCTTCACAGCGGCTGGCGCGTGCAGCTGATCTCAGTACACAAGCGGTGATTCTTATGACATCACAGAGAGACAAAAACAAAAACTCACACACACACACACACACACACACACACACACACGCGATGCTGCGGGCTGCAAATAAACTGCGACAACAGATACTAGATGGATCCACCGAGCGCTCAACAATTTGGTAAATCTGAATTATTTCACATTCAGGCTGCTCGTTGCACATATTATTAGTTGTACGTCATCATATAAAACAAGGTATAAGTCAGTGTAAGACAAATATTGAAGGCCCAGGCTGCATGAGAGGGGGGGGGGGGGGGGGGTACACCTCTCCAAATTGAACCTTTTTTACGCACAGAACTGAAGCTCGGCTCGGTTTCCAAAGTGTTAGTACCTGCTTCGTGGGAATTCCTTCGGACAGAATCTTGTTTCCCTCTGATAGAGGGGACAAAACTTCATTTTTCCAGTACATGAACCCCTGGAGTCTCACAGCGTACAGTGTCTCCAAACTCGGTGCGTGGATTCAGGAGAAGGTTCGGCGATGGGCGTCAGAACTTGTACCATCCGTACACCATGCATCGGGCGTAAACTGGCGCACAGTTTTGTTTTTTAAACGCGAAATGCTTTCTCTCTTTAAAAAAAAAAAAAAAAAAAAAAAAGTTGCTGTGCGCGAAGATCTGACCACCACTGACACAAACTAGAAAACTTATGAAGCAATGCAGAGGCGAGGAGCTGCTTGCTGCTCCACAGAGAGCCTTATTTAGAACAGAAAGATTTCTTCCTTTCCCCCTGTTTCCCCCTCTCTCTCTCTCTCTCTCTCTCTCTCTCTCTCTCCTCACTTTTGGGAAGGAGTCTGACTACAGGAAGTGAATCAAATTGAGGGGTTGGCAGCTTTTACTCCAAGGCTTCATAGGTGCAGGGGGAAACTGCAGGGCGGCAAAGTCGACGAGAGCGCAACAAGCAGAGAACCAGAGTGTCTCTGCAGTGGAAGTTTGTGCGGCTCTCTGGCCTGCCTTATAGTTAAAGAAGGGGGAGGGTGAAGGAAGAGTTTCATATGCGTGAGAAGGGTGGACACGCTTTGGAACAGTTATGACAGAAACTTACTCAAACTCTGGTGGTGTATGTTTGATATCTCAGGCATTTATATACCGACTGCCAGGAGGGGGGAAAAATACCCAACGTAAATTATAGTTATTTATATAATTGCCATTTATTTGCTACCAGAAATATACAGCTCACGTAAAGGCTGCAACGCAATAATTAACCTACATATTCCGCATATAAATGTACGTTTTTATACACAGCGTCGCCATATATATATATGTTGGTTTATACTGTATATTCAGGCTCTACAGTATCGACAGCAGATGCATGAGACAATAATCATAATGCATTTATTTAAATATAATGTAGTATATGATTTAATTAATCTCAATGGTGTAATCATGTGTTTTCTTAGCCCCCCTATTTTACTGCCCATTATCACCGTAGATTTAAGACTTTAAAAATGTTTATTTATTTATTTTTAATATTACAATAATTCAAAATATTTAAATTTAATGCGTTGTTTAAGGCGAAACACATAATACATGTATGGTTAACAAAGGCTTATTTAAGATTTGCTGGGCAGGGCAGAACCATTAAAAACAAACAAATAAACAACAAAAAACACACCGTATACGATTTAAAAAAAAAAAAAGAGTTATGTTAGTATTTTAATCCATATAGTTTAATCTTTTATTTTGACACAGTTGTTTTTTGGCTGTATATCCAAAACAAACAAAACAATTATGATGAAAGAGCAACAGATATTTTTTATTTATTTATGCAAACAGCAGAGGAGCTGATGCAGATGAAACAGAAAGAAAAAAAAACCCACGCAGTGATTTAACGAAAGGAAAGCCTGATAATTACAGGATCTGTACGAGGCCACACACCGGTTTAGATCAACGTGTCAATCAGACAAGGATCCCACAATTATCTGTAAATCTATAGCCCAGAAAGAATCCCATCAAAATAAACCAGAGCTTAAAAAATAAGAAACCTCTTAATGATCCCAGAGGAGAGAAATTGATTTTAAATATTCAGTCAATTGGAAATGTATTTTAACGAATAGGCCCTTTTATTGGAAACAGATAAATACACACATTTCAAAGAAGTCATTAATTTGATCTAATGGAAATCTGAAATATTCTGCAGTCGGTTGAGCGATTTCACAACAAAGACATTTAAAAAAGAATAGGGCTGCATGATGTCAAGAGGTAGAATTTGATTTCTTCTGTGCGCACGAAATGACGCTCTTTCATTTCATCCTGTACAATTAATCTACCGATCTGCATCCCTGCTGCAACTTTATATGCGAGTCACTCATTCTCTTGGTAAAACTCTGAAAATCTCTGCAAAAGGACCTTTGGTTGGGCAAATTCATTCCTCACTTAAAACAAATTCAGACTATAATTTCACCAACATATTGTGTCTGTTTGCTTCTAAAAAGGGGCTTTTTATAAGCTCACACTGCATGTCACACCTGCAGGAAAACACAACTCAGATCACATCAAAACTATTGTGCTCCATTGATAACACATAATTCAATAACACTCTTTACATTTTAAAATAGTTTCCACATTAAACCCTTGTGCAAAAAAAAAAAAAGGTCCACAAAATATTAAAATGATGAACAGAAACTGCACAAAAATGTCTGTCTGTCTGTCTGCGGGGAAAAGAAATAGCTGGGCCTCAAAACACAATGGATCCTATAATAACCAGGATTATTATAATACAGAAAACATTGTGACTTTAGGATTGTCAGTACCGACAACTATGGTCATCTCCCTGGTTTTAAAAAGTCTGTGACATTTCAGGACTGTTTTATAAACCCAGACAGAGATAGTAATGGTGGTGGTGGATAATGGTGGATCTGCTTTCAGTGAGTAGTCCTCATTAATGAGAGGCAGATGGCTTACCAAATTTCTTACAAAACAACACCATTATATCAGCCACACCATATGGACTGAGAGTATTTGAATGGATTGATAATAACGACGTGTAGCATCGAGTTCACTCACAAATCATAAAACTGAATCCTGTAGTTTAAGAGCAATGTAGAGAATCTACAAAATGGCATACAACACGCTGCAGATGTGATATTGAATTGCCTTTAATTGAAAAATTAAAATAAAGAGACTGTGGTAAGGGGAAATACCAAAAACTACACACCACAAAAAAGTCAGTAAAAAGAGTTTGACTGCAGTTGTATAAAAATTTGATCCAAGGGAAGAAAAAAGGCAAACTATTAGGAAAGAGTAAGGAACGTCACAAAAATACTGCAACATACAGTACGTGTCACTGAGTGGTTTATCATTTGAACTCCATTAATACAAACCTGTTACAAATCTGTGTATTTCTTCCTCTTCACTGAAGTCTTGAATAAAGACACAAAAGTTGTATTTCACCTTTTAAATAAAATGTGAAACAAAAACAAAAAAACTCAACATAAACAATACGAGAATCAGCATTCAGACTCCTTAATAATAACATTTCTCTTTAAACTGTGCCTCGTGGGACTCACAGCTGTATGATTCACCTGCATTAAATCTCTGCAAAAGTGAGAAAGCAGACTGATAAGGGATCCAACCTGCACAGCAGTCAGGTATGGGGCATATGTTAAGACCTAACAACAACTGATGCTGTAACCCAAAATAACTAAAAAACTCCTTTAGGTACTTGTCCGTGATTGCTGTGATTACTCCCAAAGAGTCCGGGTTTCTCAAAGTATTATGAACAACTTCAAAACCTTTTTTTTTTCTCCAGAAAGGATGTGTATAGTCTTTATAGTATCTAGCGTAGAGTCTGTTTGTGTGTAGGTTGGGGCTGAGGTGTGTAGGTGGTGTAGGAGAGGGGGTGGATTCTCCAGCATGAGTGGGGAGGATGGGTCATCTCCTAAACCTGCGGAAGGGCCTGCTCTGGTTATTGTGGTGTGATTTAGAGTAGGGCTCCCAGCGTTTCCTCTCTGGCGGTTTGTTGTAAACGTAGGCAGACGGGCCCGAGTAGTCATCATCTGGATTCTCCTCCATCATCTGGAGCTTGGCCTCGATGGCGCGGATCTTAGCACTCGTACTGGGGGGGAGAGAAAAAAGATAAGATGTTAGCTGTGAGGCTGAGGGGGAAATACCAGTGTTGGTGCTGAGGGTGACGGACAAACTGAGTGATGGACAGATCTTGGCTCTGGCTGAGGGGAAAAGAAGAGGCGGTATTAGCACTCATAGTAGCGGGAGAGACAGATGCAGGAGGGGGAAAAAAATGGAGCACAGGCAAAAGATAACGAGAGAAAAACAGAGGAAAACGTGCATTTAAATAGAGAAACTGAACTTGGAGGAGCAAGGGTGAGAAGTTTGTAGGAGCAATTACAGTGCAAGTGAGAAGAAGAGCGACTGAGGGAAGTGTGTAAGAAGATAGGAGAGACAGTCTAGATGGAAAAAAAAAGGGGGGGAAAAAGAGTGTTTATATTTCCTCTCTTGTGCTGCGCAGAGAGTGATTTTGAAGTTTACACTAGAACCAAAGTGTGGAATCTTTTCTGAATCCCGATAGCTGAGAACGTGCTAGATTGCCTCGCTATGAGTTGATACTGCAAGCACAAGATGCCTTTTACTGACTTAACAGCGCTCCATTTGACTGCCGTACTTACTGTGTGTGTGTATATGCTTGTGTGTATTGTAGCCACAATAATGGAAGATGTTAGAACACTCCCACACAGACGTTTTTTGAACCCAAGTGTTAGTCCAGTTGTAGTCAGATGAACTCGACTTGAACTGTAGTTTGTGGTGAAAGGAACAAGCTCACAAGTTCTCCTGTAATGACTTCACAGGAGTTAAATGGAGGGTTTGTTAGGGTTGCACCTGAAAAGACCCTAAAGTGACAGGAGACTACTAAGCCGGCTAAATCTGAAAACACCATTTCCGTGTAACAACAACATTGCAAAACTACTGCAAATCACTTTTTTTATGATCACAAAGCTGTCATCTGGCAAAATAAACCGATACACATTAGTTAAAAAGTGTCAGTATGTTCAAAAAGTTCATCAGAGGTGATGGTAAAAGTGGTGTTTATAGCTGTTCTTAAAGGCCACACTAAAAGATGGGGTGAAAGGCCGGTCTTCACAATAATTATTATTATAACGGAGGACAGTGCTCACTTTCCTTGATGGCATTCATAGTACAGACAAAAAAAGTGACAAAAGTAGTTGAGAAAGAGAAAGTAAGAGCTTGAGAAAGAAGTTAAAACCCTGCTTACTTTCTTACCTCCATGGGCGTGAATGTTGAGATATTAGATACGGAAAAGTTACACAAATTGTTGAACATAGAGAATCCCAGTTTTAACACCGGAAATGTGTCCGAGGGGGTTTAAGACTATTTGACCATAGTGTAGTATATGGAAAACTTTAAAACTTCTGTGTTGTGTACTTTGTCTGAGCAGGCTTACATATTTGTTTTCCAAAAGTTCAGTTTTCCACATCCAAGCTAAAACCTGAGGCCGCTTTATCCATTCAGGGTTACTGCTTTCAAGAAAACCAATGGCTTAGACAGAAATGGAAGGAAATAACCGTGACAAAAGATTTAGATATAGCTGGCTATAGTGGGCATGCTTTACGAAAATAACTGAACGCTGTGTGTGTTTGGTACCAACCTGAGGTGGTTGGCAGTTACGGGTCCTTCCTCTGTCGCACCACTGCACGACGGTTCCAGGCTCGGAGGCATCGTCTTGTCGTTACGGAAACCTTCAAACCTCTGCAGACGAGACACGTGGCCGAAACAAAAAATAACCCACACAAACAGTGATGGAAACATGGATGGACAGACAGATGGAGAGAGACAAGGGGGTAAAATAACAGGTAGTAGCAAGAAAAGACCCTTGTACAGGGAAGAGACACATGGGTTGTCACAGAATACATAAGATAAAGAGAAACAGAGTCAATGGGATAAAGATAATAAAGATAAATAACCTAATGTTGAAATATTTGTAAAGATGCCAAATCTAAGGTTTACAGCTCTCGGCCAGAATCAAATTGCATCTAAAATCTGTCTGGTGACCAATGAGGTTGGAATTTCCTTTCTTGCTACTCACAAAAGAATTAGCATAGTGCATCACTTACGGTTTCTCTAAAACAGGGATTGTGTCAAGACAATACTGTTAAAAGGAATCGGACTGTAACGTGTTCTCTGTGCATTTTGGATACAATCACACCTGCATTTAGAAACATTTAGGGTCCAAGTTTCAGTTCTGACCACATAACATAAGTAGAGGAAGAGAAAAAAGGACAGAGAATAAGAAAAAAAACCCATCAACCAGACATTTTGAAATTATCAGACCTCCTAATAAACACTGACAGCAGTTCTCTGAAGAGCCAATTCCAGCTTCCTCCCACAAACAGCATTATTAAACTGATGTATTGATTTTGTTTGTGTCGGGTCAAATAGACAGTAACCGAGCAGGTCTGCGTATCCAGCTCACAATCACACCCTAAGGCATGAGGGAGGATAAAGAGGGAGCAGCTGGGGAGCAACAACCAACGTCTGCACTCATTCCTTTCAAAACCACCTTCCAAACATCTCCACCAGCCCAACACAGAACTCTTGAAACCTGTGGAGAAAAAAAAAAGACAAAAACAAAAAACAACAGTCACGTACATGATGGGCATGAGCAACCCTGGCGCTTGGTGCGGCAGCAGGAATATGAGGCTTGTAAATGGCACTGAATCAAGTTACACAAATGAACAAAAGCACACACACATTCTTACATACTGTCCCAAGAAATAAATAACATGTATAGCCAAGAATAGGTCTAAAACAATGACCATTCCAACGGCCAGGACCCTTCCCTTCCACCTATTCCTAAAGGCATGTAGCTGGAATGTATATAGATTACTGTACGTAGAGCCAATCAGGCCATACTGAGTCTTATACAATCCAAAGCTTAACTTATGGGAAAGTTAAGTTTAAATGTTGTCTTGTTGTTTGGTTAAACCTCTCGATTTTAATTACGTTTTAACAATAATTTATTTGGGGCTAAATTATGGATATATTCATAGGAGTATTTCAGTCATAATGAGAATTTCACGTACAAAGAATGTAGCACGCATAACATACAACTTGGCCAAATTGTGTATTGGTATAAATAAAGAATTATACAGTAATGAATTAAGACACAATTGTTTAACAGTTGAAAAGGTCCATTTGGAAAGCAATGGATGTTTGTGAAGAGTTTGAGGGAAACCTTTCAATAAACGTTCAACAAAGTGATTTCCTCTCTTTCAAAGCTATGTAATAAAGTCAAGATGTAAGCCTGGAAATGAGACAACAGCTTCAACACCGACGGTGTGTGACTCACTTATCCCAGCACGTCACTTCTGGGTTGGAACCGGCAAAGACAGGCTCGCTAAAAAAATATCACATTCAGCTGGCTCTGAGGTTGGTGGAAAATTGCTCATATCTCGCTTGTATAATAATAACAGGTAGTACCAGCTTCAGTGTATTGGAGGTATTTTTTTTAACCGAACACACTATAATTTCAGTGGTCAAACAGAAGCATAACCCTCGGAATTTACCAAGACTTATCAATTGCTTAGAAAATGACCAGAGATTGCTACCATGCACAGGGGAATGCCTTTTAACCTGACTGCACGTTGTTGGCCTGCACTTTCAAAAAATACTTGGCAGGCAATTACATGAACTATCTATCACCGTCTATCATGAGTGAACTTCAACCAATCATATTAACAAACCATAATGGAGTCAAAATCTTTCCACAGTGAGTCGAGAGAAGAGCCATCGGTCCTATTCTCTGCTATTCTCCAGTTCTGATATAACTGCTGCTAGCAGCATTCACGCTAACCTCTTTAGCAGCCGCCATTGTTGTTTTGGGGCAAGTGTGTGTGTGTGTGTGTGTGTGTGTGTGTGTGTCCAGGCCATCGTCACACAAACCTAGCATTAAACCACGCCCGTAGCTCATGCCGTAGCTGCTAGTAATCTCTTATAGGACGCTGACCGGTTCCAACACTGTACTGGCCAGTAACGCACAGATTTAAGCCTGGCAAGATGGATTCTTTCGTCATGTTTTGACAAGGTTAGAATCTAGTTCACTAATGTGAAAAATCTTCGTCTTGATCTTGGTGAAGTGGCACCCTCTTCTACAGGAAAGGTTTCAGAATATATTTGGTGACAATCATTCATAAACCTCTAAGCTTTTCTCCTCCTGCTACTCAGCAATAGGAGCAAAACACACAGGAGTTAATATCCCAAAGCAGACTGTGTTGCACAATGTGAGAATACTTTTGACTGACACATTCATCTCTAGCTTGTTAAAGGATGTCATGGGATGAAATTATGAATTTCAAAATCCATCTTTATCAGCTGGGACACTGACCAGAAAGGCCGTGAGCAGTTTGACAGCAAGCTGAGAGGAAAAGAGCAGCTATAAGATGAAGGCTCAACCCAAACTGTAGCAGTGACTTTCACCCCCTGACCGACTTGAGATCCACGTAGTGGGGTAAAACAAAACAAAATATCCAATCCAATGTTTCCTGCCACTCACTTCACTTCCTCACTCAGCGGCCAGAAAACACGCCAGCGCACAGCGAGACACTTTCTTTGAGTTGTTGATCGGCTGCCACGTGCGTAAACTTTCATGCATGGTGGCCTACTTCCAGTATGTCACGTACTTGCAGAGACAGGAAGATATTAAAATACAGTTTAATATAGACCTGAACGTGTAGGTAAAACACATTAGAGACATCAAACAAGCTGCAGCTCAGTGATGCAGCAAAACTTTTTTTCTTGGGAAAAGAAATTCTGGCTGATGACTTGCTTGCTAATAAAATCCAGATGATTGTAAACACCACTGTAGTGCAGTATTGAATTTGAAAAAACTCCATTCATTGTAGAAATTAACAGAGCACTCTGGTAAGTGTTTGCAGAAGGTGCTGACAGACACTGTGCTTGAAGTAGTTTAAACTTATTTGCCCAATGACACAGGTGTGGTGTTAATTCAAGATTTAAGATATAAACAGCTACGAATGTAGCCTTATAATGGCTCACTAAAATAACAAAAGCTATTTTTGGTTGGAATGGTAGATTGAGCCCCATTACAATGAATCTATGAGGAGATTTATCCAACAACGTGTTGTCTTAGAGGCGGCAGCATTGACCTTGACCTCCCTGTGTGTGTGTGTGTGTGTGTGTGTAGGGCGTGATTCGTCTCTATACAGGATATCCCTTCACCCATTGCCAGTAGGCTGTCTATTGTTAAGAGACAGGCATAGGTTGTGCTGGGATCCCACTGTTCTGTAAACTGAACACTGAAGTAGTAATGATAAAAGGAAAATCAACTGATACTGATAATCTTTTACCGCAACTCAGAATTTTAGAATGCCCTATCATCTTTATTATTATTATTATTTATTTATTTCACTAATCTCACTGGCCTTGTCTGAAGCAGCTCCTTGACTTTTTTTTAAATCTCTGAAATGATTAAATGTGTGTAATGCACAGATATTTAGTCTGTCAACCTTTGCAGGAGACCACAAACTGCAGCCACAACCCCAGTGTCCACTGAGCAATCAGGATGTATAAGATTTTTATAAAAATGGAACAGAGTTTGACACTTACCCTCACCTGTGCGTGCGCCCAGCGCACCACCAGCTTCTTGGACAAAGCTAGCTTCCCATTTAAACACTGGATCGCCCTTTCTGCCTCCTGCACAGTCACACACGCATGCACACACACACGCACACACACGCACACAGAAAGAGGAAAAGATTTTTTACAATTACCATTAAAATCAGACTTGATGATTGCACCAGAGTTATTAAATAATTAGCCTTCACAATAGAGAGATGGCTGAAACAATATGCCACTCTGCCACCAGATAGACCAGAAGTGATGTGTGTCTGTCGTGTATTTAAGTGGGAGTGTGGTTACAATAAGTGGTTTTGATGCTAAATAATATTAATGAAGTACTATTTCTGTGTGTGTGTGTGTGTGTGTGTGTGTGTGTGTGTCTGTCTGTCTAAGTGTGTAAAATAAACACACACTTCCTCTGTATAATCCTTTTGGGAGGGCTTCATATCCCACTGATAGACACTAGCTGTGAAACTAGATGCTTATCACCATCCCCAGGCTCACTCCAAAACAAATACTGCCTGCTGAACCTGTGAAGCTGAGCGGACTCCTTTTTTTTTTTTTTTTTTTTTTTTAAGAAATATGGTCCACATCAGTTAGACACACAAACAGGTCCTGACTGCTTTTAGATGTCTAATAAAGCTTTCAAAGGCCATTTGAGTATAAGGAGTATTGTTACACTCAATAAAGGGAAATTCTATAAAATATAGCGTGGATGTGCAAATTCTAATGAAACAGGAACTTTTTATTTTTATTAAATAACACAAATATGCACTTTGATCTGGTCATGGTCACAGTCATCCTGTTGATTTGAGTTAACACACCAATATATTGGCATACTATTGTCATGATATATTCTTTAAAATGCAATATCTGTATTGATCCAATACAAATTTTACTGCCAACGGTTGATTCATTTTTGTTATTACTACTTTGTTATTACTGACAAACGTATGACAAAAAAACTTGTGACTTTGTATGTTTTTAGTTTACCAAAATATATACATATAAATTGAAATCAATAAAATCAATCACTTTATCTTGCACATACCTCTCTGGTGTTGAAGTTGACAAAGCAGTAGCCTCGTGGCTGTCCCTCCAAAGGCCCAGACTTATGAAACAGGAAGTCAAACTGTTTCACATTACCAAACTTTTCCAACAATTTCACCAGGTGATACCTGCCAAGAGAAGAATGTGAAAGAACAAAAAGTTACAAGGAAAACACAAAAACAGAACACAGGAGAAGAAGAAATGTAAAGTAAAACTGTCTTTATTTTAAGTATTTATTCTGTAAAGGAACAGAAGATAAGCCTATTCCACAAGGACATGGACCATTCTGTGTACCACAAGCCTCCTTTATCAAGTGGTGTGACACCAACCATCTTATTTTAAAATACACCAAAACACAGGAGGTGGTTCTTGACCCGCGGCAAGTGACTGACCACGACATATTTAGGTGTCCACACAGATAACCTTTTTTTGCTGGAAAACACACATTGATCAGCTGTGCAATAGACTGCAGCAGTTTACTAGATCATGCTGATGTTTTACCGGGCGATCCTGGAGACCATCGTTAGATATAGAATCACAGCATGGTTTGGCAACTTAACAGTGCAGCTGAAAAGCAGGCTTGGCAGGTTGCATAAAATGTAGCTGAGGATAATAGGGAGGAAAGAATATGAGCCTATACAGAGCCTGTATGAGCAAGCAGTCATGAAACAAGCAGCAAAAATCATTGCAACATCACCTCTTCTCTGAATGCAAACATCTGCCACCAGGAAGAAGAATCTATGTGCCAAAGTGCAAATCAAACCGACTGAAGTTATCGTTCCTCCCAACTTCTATCAAGCTGCTGAACTCAAATATGAAATAATATTGCAATAGGGCAATGTATAATAAATTAAACAGCACCATAGCACTTCTTTGTTTTTCTTATAGTCTATTTTTAAGCTGCTGTAATGTCAGTGTTAAAAGTATAGTCAAATGTGTCTTTTATGTTTTAATATGTTTAATGTTGATTTTGTGATGGTTTTCTGATGTATGTTCATTTGTTTTTGTGAAGCAACAGATTGTAGCACTGTGCCCAACATGAATTTCCCCTCTGGGACAATAAAGTTTATTCTATCTTACATTTCCACGATGGTCAACAAAATACACTGTACCGAATATTGTAGCTCAATCCCTGTGACCACATTTGCCACTCTACAGTCTGTGAATCTGTCAAGTGGGGCTAATGAGAATGACAGCTTTCTCTCCCTGACACCTTTTTAGCAGCAGGCCAGCTGGTGTGGCAGCCCAGTGACAGTAAATCTCTCATTGAGACAATGCTGAGGATACAGTAGCAGGACAATGAGGGAATAAAAAAGAGGAAGCCTCAAATCCCCCCTGAGCACCGAGCTCCGTACAAACAACAACCACTGACTGCGTGGAGCTGCCTGGGAGTGTTGGATTATGAATGAACATAGATGTGTGGTCATTGAAAAGCTATGCAGTGTTGTGAGGATTTGTGGGTTTGCGTGTAACTGACCAGAAGCAGTCATTGGAAAAATATTTTTTCAGTGTGGAAAAGAGCAATGAGTTCAGGGTCACCTGCAGACTATGTTCACCGCTACATTACTGTAAATACCCAGGCACTGATTGAATGTTTCCTCATATGCTCAGTGGCAGGTGCTTTTCAATTCCATGAACTGTCAGAGCTTTCATTTATATGTGCAATATTCTTATATTTCTATGTGTAGAATAAGGGATTGTCAGAGACATGTTGTCCCATCTGCTAGGCTGCAACAAACGAATATTTTCATTATCCAATAATCTGCAGATTATTTTCGATAAGTATTTAATCTGTCAAAAGATATGTAAAGAAAAAAAAATTGCTTGGTTTTATTGATATTCAAATAATCAAATTAGATCTTCAAACCCAAAAACCCAGCAAAAATATTGCCATTGGAAAAACTGGAACCAGTAAACGTTGAGTAAACAATTATCAAAATTGTTGCAGATTTATTTTATGTCTATTGATCCATTGATTAATCAACTAACCGAGTGGGTCTGTCTGCACATTTAAGTGCAGTGTCCCTCTACCATAAATAATGAATTGGCAGTAGTTAAAGACACTGACCGTGACAATCCACAGTACAGACTATATCACCCCTGTAATCCACACCTGTCTGCAAACCAATTAACCCACTAATTTACACAACACATTGTAAATAAAAGCCCAAAAAAATAAAGTTGGATGCATCTTGCAGACAACGTAACCTCCCTACTACTTTAACTTTAAACCTGTGCTTTTTTTTACTGTGACATGTCAATATGTCTGAAATATGTCCGAAAAAAGTCAATTAAACCCTAAAAAGCAACAACAAAACCGAAAATACACAAACAAAAGAAATCAGCAAACACCTTCCTGTGTTATTGTTTTGGTGCCTGTACCTGTACGTGTGACTGTCCAAGCCTCACAGTGACCTCAGGTGTTTTGTTTACTGTACTAGAGGAATCAATGTTTCAGCCTTTTATTGTTTAGTTGGTTGTTATTTTTAATCCTGATGTGGTCTGTGTGTGTGTGTGTGTGTGTGTGTGTGTGTGTGTGTGTGTCCACAAAGATGACTGTATGACGTTAATGTGCAAGCATGCATTTCTGTGTATGAATGGGACTCAGTGTGGGATGTGGAGGGCGAACTGTGGGGTTTAGCTACAGGTTGTACTAATGTCTTCCACCCTTCTATGACTCCCTTGAGGGCTTTAGGCTGAAGAGAATTTCTGCTTTTCCCAGACAACACCCTGCAAGCCTCCCATGTGAAGGTGGCTCCTCCAGCGCTTTACAAAATAAAAGCTTACTTTAAAAAAAAATGCTTTTATTACTTTTATCACTTTTCTGCACTCTTATGCTCACATGGTGTGCCTTTGCATGTCATGCACTGATACACTGATCAGGAAGTGAGAGAGGCAGTCATTTAAGTCAAATGCAAAAACTCTAAAAAGTTGTAATGCAATAAATATTAACTTTTCATCGTGCTATATATATATATATATATATATATATATATATATATATATATATTCAAATAAATATATACAGCACGTTTGGGCATATGTGTGAATTTCAGCGAGATTACATGGCTGACACTCTAAGAACATTTTTGGATGCTAGCGAGCTGAACCACAATGGACCGCTCCTCCTGGGGGCTGTAAAAACCACCGGAGGAAGAGGAGGAGAAGGGGGAGGAAAGGGAGGGAAAGTTGGGGAGAGGGAGAGTAAAGTTCATAGAGGGGATGTTGACGGCAAGGTGAAAGGTGGTGGAGGAAGAAGAGGAGAAGCCAAAAGAAGAGAGGAGGTGAGAAGCCAGGTAGTAAAAAGATACAAGAGCTAGGAAGCAAAGAAGAGGAAGGAAGGAAGGAAGGAAGGAAGGGGGATGTGTGTCCGGTTCAAAAAAAGATAAGACAATAGGTTCTGTCCAGAAAAGTGCAGGTCAGAGGGGGAAAATTTAGAGAGGAAGAGGTTTTGTGACTTTCTGGCAGGGTAGCAATCTGCACTATCTTCATATTTCATAAAAATCCTGGCTTGCAGTATGAGTTGGTGGTTATTAAAAAAAAAAAAAACATGACAACTTCCAGGTACACAACTTAGAATGTTACAAGAGGGCCAGAGAGTGGACTAAGAGGGAGACGGTGATGGATTACCACGAATGAGAAATTCCCTCTCTGAGCAGCCAAAAGCACAAAAACATGAAAATGTGGTGAAAGCTCCAGTTACACCTGCTGTGTCTCTGCTGTGAGTGCAGGGCATGGAAAGATGAAAAACCTCTGACTGCATATTGTGTGGGACGCTCATCTACGCTCCGAGAAGATCATTTCAGCGGCGAAGAGCTAAAAGAGTGATTGACTACTGGTCCTTTGACTGGGTTTAAAAGGGGGCAGGGGAAAGAGGATTACAGTTTCCTCATAACAGAGTCGCAACCTGCACAGAAACAAGAGAAACACAGAGATGGAAGAAGAACGTTCAAAATCACAAGCTTGAACTAGATTTCTGTCCAGGTTTTGTAAGCTATGAGCCCTACGGGAGTCATCTTTCTGACGAAGGACGTGTTACACAAAATGAACCAGCAGCCTTCTTACCTCATCACATCCTAATCGAGCCAATATTTCACTCTGACCAACCAGAGCAGAACGGGATGCCACTAAATGAGGCCAAATTATTATTAGTCTAAAACCTTGCTATTATAAAACAAAACTGCATGTTTGGATGTCTTTATTTAGCTAAAAAAACTCAGCAGAATGAACAAAGTCTTATTAACTATTAATTTCCTATTTTAAAAGGAGGTGTGTGGCGTTCAGTGATTTAGCCTTATAATCAGCACCTTGCATTTCAGGTCTGCATTCCTCCTCTGCACTGAGTTTTGGTTTGGCTTAACGGGACAAACAGAGCGAGTAGTGCGTATGCTACACAGGAGCTAATTAATCTTCCCAATCAGCACCAGGGGCCATGGGCATTTCTCTTGTTTTCCCTCCACACGGTGAAGCAGTGGGCTATTTAAGGAGAAGCAGAGCAGAGCAGGGAAAGGGGAAGGAAACGCCTGTCTAGACGCCCACCAGAGCCGCAGCTCATACATTCTCCAGCAGCCCCCACAGGCACACAAACAGACCCCTCACCCCGAAAAACTACCTTCCCTCTGTCACAATATATGTAGGGGTGCTCTCCACGCTCACAGCTGGAGTTTTGAACGTTCAGGCGCTCACATGCACAAACATCCCTACACACAAATGTAGTAATGGAAGGATGTCTGCAGGTAAATATGATGCCACGTGAGACGCACTAATAATGTAAGCTTGCACCGCTACCAGCTGCGACCTAAACATTAACTGTGTACTTAAACATCCTCACACATACGCACACACAATCAGCTCCAGGTTGACACAGAGAGAGTAAACAGGGCAGGTGAGTGAGGAATGACGGCTTCTCCTTAGCAGAGCAGGTCTCCACGCCTCGCTGCCTCTCTTTCACACACCCAGCTCCGTCTGCTCAGTCTCAGCCCGCGACACACACACACGCTATACGCACACAGTTAATCAATCATATATGCACACACAATGCGTTGCCTCTCTATGAGGCAGAGCCAGGCAAGTAAAAAAGCAATGCCTCAGGTTCATAACACAGACGGCCTTACAGCAACCTCAAATCGAACACTTGTTGCTGCTAAAATCATCAACAGGTCTTGTTTCTCATTTGGCTGGCTTGCTCACATGTTTGTGTCAGCTCTAATCCAATCTGAAACATGTATGTATAAAGACGCAACAAGCTGACTCACTCATTATGATGTTAAGGTCTGTTAAATAATAAAGACTGTCAATGTGTACGCCTTCCCAGAATGTGGGGGTGTGGGGGGAGTGTGGACCAGTAGTGGATTTACTCACTCTGTGATTTTGGGATCGATGTTGCCTATCCACAAGCGGTTTCCGTCATGGGCCACACTCTCTGAAATGATGGAGGCATTTTCCACTGTCCCTGCTGCAGACGACATGTGTACTCTGTAGGAGGCGGTGACAGAAGACATCAGAAGAAAGAGGAAATTAGGCCACTAGGATTGTTTTGAGCACAATGGCAGTGTCCTTACAAAGAAACTACATCTCTCTGAGCACACCGGCTTACATGATCGATTAGAAGGAATCTAGAAAATGAAGAGAACCGATCAGAAAAGATCCGATCATACATTTGATCTACTGTATGTTCAACCACATACAGACATTCAACTCGTAGACAGTGCTGGGACTCTTCATCTTGGTTTTATAAAAGGGAGGTGCCCCGCACAGACCTAACAGGTAAACCTACACACACAGGTAACATCAACTGTAAGACAAAGTGCCAAATTATACAGTGTCAATGATCTAGGTCGTTTCCATAAATCAAAAAGTCTTTATCATTTCTCAGCTCACTCACTATTGCTTTATCTTTTTATGGTTCTTACAAGGGGCGCATGGTTTTGTCATTGTATAAATATCAAACAGTGCGCTCATTGTAAATATGTGTTGGATTATGTGTAAAGACATGTGTAAAGCAGGGAGTTTCTTTAGTCTTCCTTTACAGTTTAGCATCTTAACATCTCCAGAAATCACGATGAACAGAATTAGAAAATGATTCAGGGTGAGTTACTTTTATCCACAGCGCCAGGGAATCACACTTCTTCTAAAAGCTACAAAATAAAAACAAAAAAACAAACAAACAAATAAGAGCTTCAGGTTTTCTCGTGAGGAAACGTTAACATGCTACCTGCTAACGTTAGCCTAGCTAACCGCGGAGCTGATCGATTTATTATCCGTAAGTAGTTTATATTTGCTCGTTCGGATCGATTGTGTTAGGTTAAAACTATTCTCGGTCATCCAGATGTTGAGATGTTCGGTTAAGATTAATCAAATCGATCCACTAAACGGTTAATAGTCCGCTTCAGACGGGCAATGGGTTGCTAGCAGTTAGCTTAGCTTAGATCACTTTACCTCCTTTGATATTAAAACTTCCTCTTTGAAAGCGACGGAGTTATTTGTGACCCAGTTTTCCACTGATCCCACTTCCGGGACGATTCGGTTACGTCAAAACGTGAAATGAATCATTTCAAACCACCAGTGTCTCGTCCTCCTTTAAAGTACAGCGCATATGCTAACGTTAGCTCCGTGCTACCGTCTGACAACAAAGGCGCAGGGTGATGGTGTAGCGTCTTTAACTGTCTGTGGAGTCGAGAGGAAGCACTCGGTTTAATGTCCGGCATCTCCCGCAACGCTCACCTCGCGACTCTAAGTCACGTTCCCTTGTCGCTTCAGGCAGGGAACCCCGCCCACGCGGTATACGCCGTATACAATTACAAACAAACAATCTTACGTTGCAAAAACGTCGGCGCATGACGATGACGAGGTGGTTGTCAAACGGCTTCTCCTTACACGAGCCGGAGAAGACCGTAAACTACAAAGTAAGTAAGCTGTTTGCGGGTAATTTACAGGTAAAAGTCGTGTTTTTTCTGGTCGGAGCTGGAATTAACGACAGTGTTATGTTGAGCAAGGACGTGGTTAGCGTTTGCCCGAGGTATTATGAGCTGAAGGCGGCGAAGAAGTACTGTAAGCACGCTCTCATCACTCCGACCTTCACACAGTTTACGTAAGCTGCAGTAATAGGAGCAGTCTGTATCTTAAATATGTCCGCACTGTTGTTATTGATAATAATAATAATAATAATAATAATAATAATAATAGTATCTGCCTCGACAGGCTCCTGTGTTTCCTGCTCTACTCGAGTATTAATTTAAAAAGGACTGAATCAGTAGTTGTAACCCAAAGACCTTCTGATATGGACACACATATATATTAACAATATATCAAAATATGTCAGTATGTCGTCAGTATGTAGCTGATGTTCCTCACAGTGGCGTGAGTGAGGAAAAAACTTTTCAGTTTTCGGAGATATTTGTATAAAAATCATCAGGCACATGAATGATTCACAGGGATTCAGTCAGTCTAGCAAAATGACCACATATGTATGTGTCCTCTTACTTAAATAGTGTGTATATAGTGTGATATTGAACTGAAAAGATTAGGTGATTGACACATTAAATTAATTGCTAGCAATTATAATAATCAATTTTAAGACTTTAATTAAGCAAAGTTGTCAAACATTCGGAGGTTCAAGCTTCTGAAATGTGAGTGTATTTTGCCTTTATCTCTTTTTTAGCTTTGTAATATGAATATGTTTGGTTTTTGGACTGGTAACTGGACAAAACAAAGCAATTTGTACATGTGACCTTGGTCCCATAACTTCTGGCACTTTACAGTTAATCAGTTAAACTAATTGAGATGTTAATTGACATAATTGTTAGGGTGCTGCCCCAGTCTAAACAGTTTGTTTGACAAGGTAGAGCCAGGCAGAACATTATCAGATACTCTGCTGTGTTATTGTTTTTGGCACAAACTGCAGTGTGTGCAGAGGAGAGATCATGCTGATCACCAGCTGGCCTCTGCCACCTGAAGAAGAGAGCGGTGTGTCTGCAGCTGCTGCAGTGTGTGAAATCTACAGGATATAAGGCTACAGTATCCCACTGAACACCTGTGCTTCACTTTTTATGCTTGACTTCCCCTCTAAAGAGATCTGTCACCATCCCACATCTGAGCCTGTCTGCTCTGCCACAGTGCACCGTCTCATATCAGCTTGTCAGGAAACCTGCCAGCCGTGGATGCCTGTCATGGGTTTGTATTGTAGCTGGTGGTCCACAGTCTAGCCTAAATATTGCTATTGAGATATTTTTGGATTTAGTATCTGGAGTCAATGTTGGATTAACACCAGAGACACATGGCATGGCTTTACCACTGAGGACACATTGTATATGGGATTGTGGGGATTTTAATAACCTGAGGAGGATCTACAATTTACAATTATATATATAAAAAAAATACATATGATAGGTATATGCTTTTGGCCTGATTCTGACATATTTTTTAAAAAGAAAAATGACTTAATTTGTCTGTTTATGGCAAAATAAATACATAGATTTACATTTTAATAAATTTAATAAAGCAATTTAGTGTTACATTCCTGGCGTGGATGATCATTCAGATCATAATGTAGAAAGATAAAATTGACAGAATGTTATTGAGAAGTTAAAGGAATAATTAAATATGAAAAGTATTTAAAGTAATCAGAAAACCTCACATATTTGCTGGTAGTGGGTGGGTTTCACTGGGGATGGACTCATGACTGGTGGTGAGAAATGTTCACTTTCTTTTAAATAAATTATGTCCATTGAAGATGCATTTTATAATAAGGTGAATTCTGAAACATATTTATAACTTTTGTTAGATTGAAATGTGTACATCACTGTTTAAAATCCCCCGACCTACCTCTCAAAAGTGCTTTCAAACTCACAAATAAGTGTCTACAGTCAATTCACTGATCCATTTATCATTTTACAGAAAATAAATCTCCCTAATATGATACATTTGGGAAGGTTCCTCTCATTTGTAACCAAATTGTCTTTTAATGCAGCCGTACGGTTTGTTTCTCCTCACAGCTCGCATATATGTATATATAATTATAATTACACCAAACAAGAGAGGATGTCAGCCAGTCTGCAGTACACTGCGAGCTGTTCACAGCCACTGACTTTGAAAGACAGGCTTTAGTATGTGTTTGTGTCTGTGTGCTTCAAAATCTCTGAGTTTGTCTGTGCTTGTGTGTACGCCGAGGTTCAGTGACACAGTTCACAGTCGAGTGCCAGTTTGCGAGGTGGGAGGTGGTTATCCCATAGAAAGGGAGTGGTTGGTCTTGTGTGATTTTTGAATGGGAGGTTCCCCTTGAGGAATGCCCAAACAACGCGTGGGAGTAGACTTTGTTTTGTTTTCTATAGATTTGTGTGCGTAAGAGGAGCAGAAAGAGCATGTCTGGGATTTAAGTGTAATAGTGTATAATGTAGCCTGTAGAGTTGAGTGCAGGAAGGTCTACTACTGCACTGATGTGTTCTTACCAGAGCCTCTTTTCCTCCTCTGTGCTTTGTTTTGTCAGAGAAATTCTGGTTAAAGGCACAGTCTCTGATCCAAGCAGTGAAACCATTAGTCGGTTAATCAATTTAATATAGTACAGTTCAAAATATTTCTTATTTTAACATAAAGAATAGTATATTTCATTTAGTCAAGGCCCACACCGTGCTTTATGGCAGGGAGAATACTTTTGTAACCATTTCCCCCCAAATGCCTTTCATTTTGAATTTGTTTTCCAGTCCAAAAAAGCACAAGTGACCAATGGTGCAACTAGGCTCTAAATATTTTTTCTCTGTGCCCTCTGCAGTCTGCTCAGTGGTTTAAACTGTGATATTTCAGTCTATAATATGATCACCTGATATTCTGTGACTCAATTCCCAATGTACTAACACTAGACCAACCTTCTGTTGACCTTCTGTGACTATTACTACTACTAAAACAGAAACTTGTTCCCATTTAAATCTGCACAGATTTTGATGCTAAGCTTCCAGTTTCTTTTACCAATGAATTGTGATCTCTTCTGTTCTTATTTAACTGTTCAGAGGGATCTTTGTCTCTGTATTTGTAAAGATAGACTTTGTACAACCTAAAAAGCATAAAAGACCACTCAAAAACACTCTACAACTCTCCGAATTAGGCTTTTGTCGCAGTCATTTTTCAGTGTTTTGCAATATATAGGCAGGTGTTTCTATTATTTTGTCTACCAACTTACATCAATGAGAGCAAGCTAAATAACAGGAATGCCTCTCAGAATAATTCAATGCTATTCAGCTGCACCACCAACTACATCCTCCAAAATGTTCATAAAGTTAAACCATAACCTCTTTAAAACAACATAAACTGGCAACTGAGTGCTGCCTGCAAAGAAATATTGTTGACATTGCAAACAAAAGATGGCACAGATTGTGTTGGCACTATTTTCTTTTTCAGAAATGAATAGAAAAAAGAGACTATGGTACTGTAATAGGTTAGAACAAGATGTAGGCCTACCTCCTACTGGCTGATATGAGCTATTACTTCATTATTATAGATAGTGCCAGCTGGGCCTTCATCTGATCTGTGAACAAATATAATCCAGTCTCAACAAAAACTTTGTGTTTGCACTTCCTCTAACAACATTTTTCTTTAACCTCTCAATTCCCTCTTTTCTCTTCACAGTGGCTTTGAATCACCTGCTGCGACCACTGCTGTGTCAGTCCCTGCTGCGACAGGTCAGATCCCCCCTCGTGGCCACATCCAGGGTCAGTGCACCACCTCTGTGGCCCAACACCACCTGCTACCCCAGTGCATGCATCAGGCTCTATGCCACCAAGAAGTCAAAAGGTCAGTGAGGAGAGTACAACCTCTGATGTTACTTGATTAGATATTATTTGTCTCAGATTTCCCTTCACTCTTCCCTCAGAGCTTTTTCTTCTTTTTCTCTTTTCTTCATCCAAGCCAAGGCAAAGGGCCAGTCAGCTAAGGTGAATATTAATTCGGCTCTGGTGGAAGACATCATCAGTCTGGATGAAGTGAAAGGGGAGATGACAGCTGTTCTCAATGCACTCAAAGATGACTTCACACGCAACCTAAGCATCCGAACTTCGCCAGGTATTCATCTTATCTCGAATTCTTTCCCTCTCATGTCTGTCTGCCTGTGTCTCCTTACATCACTCTCCATTTGTTTGTCAAACTTTACACCCTTGTGTACGAAACTGAACAGTTAAAAAACCTTACAGAAGACAAAAAGATGGCAGCCAAGGTTTAGGTAGTAGAGAGGGTCCGGTTTGACACTGAATCTCAGTTTCTCCCCAGTCTCTGCGGATGCACAAGCCAGTGCATTCCTAATTGCCAGTCCCAAGCCCGGGTAAATGGGGCGGGTTTCATCTGGAAGGGCTTCCGATGTAAAAAAGCCTATGCCATATCAAATATACGGATCATTAGACCTACAGATGTTATGCTCTGGCAACCCCTATGGGTAGCAAGCTGAGACGTAACAAATCCAAAGACAAAAAGAACTAATAAAAGCAATATAATAAGAACAGTGACAGTGTTGTCATAAATGTAAGGGTTTAATATAGTTGCTTAGCTTGCTTAACAGGGTTAAAGTAGAAAAACATGCTAGAAAAGAACAAAGTAAATTAGTTATTGTCTTCTTATTTTATTGAATTCTCTTTTGTATCACTAGTATTTGTATGTAAATTTCAACTGTAGTTCAATCTGCAAAGGTATGCCTGGGATCTCATGGATGTCTGCAGTCCAACCAGAATGATAAAATGTTTACTCCAGAGTGAAACCAATGTTTAAATCCAGTCTTTCCAAAGAATGTTTTTCGGTAACATCTCTGCAAACGTGTCTCTACGCTTCCTCTGTTCTAGCCCAGGGTTAACATTTTATCATTCAGCATCTGGCATTATTTTCATATTGTTGGCAGAAGCAACACTACATGCATGAATCACAGAGGAACATACAGAGTGCTGAGGTCACATACGGTGCTTCCTTATTTGTTGATTTCTACTTTGAATTTGAAAAATAAATACCAAAAAGTCAGACGGACAGACATGGGCACTGACTGTTTTAATTACACCGTGCACTTGTGTTTCTCCACCCCATCATGCACTATACACATGAGGCCTTTCCTTCTTTACAGCACATTAAAGGCACATTTTGACTTTGGCGTTATAGTCAGGAAGTCTTCCTCTTTGTTTGCATCTACCTGACAAAGTGCCTGAGGGCTGAGAGAGAGCCCCATTGTGACCTTACCTTGACCCCAGTTTGACCTCTTGTTTCCCCAACTACATCCAGGTCTCGACCCTTTGCCTCTGGGTTCTAACAAATGCGAGCTGGGCTCTGCAGAGTCAGAGTTGGGGGTGTATAATAGAAGCTCCCGAGGGAGGAGGCAGCCGCTAGAATCAGACTTCAAACTTAAAGCGTTTTAGCTTTTTACTCCTTTTCCTCTTCAGAGGAAAGTGCGCTTTCTCTGACATTTGATCTGCTTCATGTGCTGTCTTTATACTTTTACACAACATGCATGAGAGTGAAACAACGGAAGCACGTAGACAACCTTGATGTCCGTTTCACTGTTCTTTATTCATTTATCTGTCCATTCTTCGTCTTGTTCACTTCTTTCCATGTCCACTCATCATTCAGCAATTTCTCGGATTGTGTCATTGTCTGTCTTCAGTCCCTCCCTTTATCCCTCCATTACTTACTCTTTTCTTTTGTTTTTCCAAGTCCCAGCTTTATGTTTTGGCCTCTGCTCATACCATATTTTTCAGTCTCTCTCATACTTTTAAATTCAAATTTCTTATTGACCCACAGGGAAACATTTGTTCACAGGTCAAGAATTTTCAAGAGTTTCCTACTTTCACTCCCTTTCTCCCCTTTCTCGTGTCAGTTTTGTCTCCTCCTCTCCATCCTGTCATCCTTTTATGTCTCCTCCCTCCACCTCTCTATTCCTCACTGCTCTCCTCCAGTCTCTCCATCCTCCTCTCTTCTGTCCAGCTGCACAGTAATCCAGGGAGGCAGCAGGACTTAGAGCTGACAGGAGAGATGAGATGGTGGAATGGAATGACGTCAGTTGTCCGTGTGTGTGTGTCTGTGTGTGTGTGTGTGTGTGTGTGTGTGCGTGTGTGTGTGTGTGTGTTTATTCCATGAACCTCTCATCTGGCTCTCATTAAGCTTACGAGTACATGTGTGTGCATATGACTGCATGTACTGTTGTGTGTTGCTTCACTGTATGTTGTGCATGTGTTTGTGTGTGGCAAAACATGTAGCTAGATAGATGTAGAGAGAAGGGATCAATGCTATGACCACCATTTTGTGGTTAGTCACAGATGGGTAATGTGGCCCCCGAAAACCACCTCTGTTTGTTTTTATGGAAACTTTTTTTAAGACGTAAGTGGCATCCGACATTCAACAAAATACAGCAAAACCACTTCAGGTCTTTTAAGTTGAAGAGAAGTGCTATTAGAGCCTAAAGGAATAGTTTGACATTACAATACATAACAATACAAGTGTTCACTTTCTTGAGGGTTAGATGTGAACACTGATACGACTCTGATGTCTTTCTGTTGACTGTAAGGCTACAGCCAGCGGCCATTTAGCTCAGAAAAGCATAAGTTCTGGGAAGCAGGGGAAAACAACCAGTCTGACTCTGTCCAAAGGAAACCAAATCTGCCTACAAGCACCTCTAAAGATTACTATTTAACACCTTATATCTTGTTTATTTTATCTGTACAAAAATCAAAATGTAAAACAAGTTGTTGGAACTATTTCTTGGCCGGGCCAGCGACTCCTTGGAGACTAAATAGTTAGCAATTAATCCCCTGTAAAACTGAGTTGTTTTTACATTTGGAGTTCAACACAGGACATTACAGCTGCCATAATAAATATGTTAGATACTACTCATAGTGACAAGCCCACAGATTATCACCTGACTCTGTCCTGTTTTAGTGTCTTTTAGTTCATTGTTTTGGTTTTACATTCAGCAACATTACTGTTTTGATTCACTCTTACTTACACTCTGCTCTTGCCATCTTTTACAGAACTAAAAAACAGTTATACACTACCCATCCACCACCAAACAACAGACAGAAAAAAGTTAGTGATTAGAGTAGAGCATTCAACAGCTAAAGAGCCAGATATTTCCCTTAGGAATTGGTGGCGACCAGAAACGGAGCCAAAAGCAGAATGAATGTTGGGCTTCCATTCACCAGGTGCACAGAAAACACGACTTCAGATAAATGCTAATGTTCCTCCATAACAGCTGGATGTCTAAATAAGCAAGTGTATGCTAAAAAGTTCCCCATATCAACTTAAAAGGTGATGATATGTCATTGTTGTGTCTACAGCTTCTTACACTGTCATACAAGCTGTAGTGCAGACCAAACAACTACATAGAGACCACCTTGATCTAGGTCGAACTTTGAGCTAAACCTGTATAGTTTTTTATGTGGTGGAAATGCAACACATGATGATGACACATTTATAAGTGTAGGATTCATAAACGTATTAACATATTTAGCTACACTTCTGCTGATCACGGCAACTGCTTCTCATCGTGTTACAATGCAGGATCCTTACCCCTACCTTTCACTAACTGTCTGTCTGACATTGACAACAGAAGTCTAGCAGCAGGATACAACTATTTCCTTGTGACCATCAGAGTGTATTGCTGAAATAAATGAACCACAATTAGATTTTATTGTCCTTTCAGCCCAGGTGTCCATGTAGCTCTGATGAGCTGCACTGAAATTCGGATAAGAAGGATTCGTATAAGAAGTTCACAAACTATGGGCCTGTTTAATGTTACTAAGGTACAAGTACTTTTTATCTGAAAAGCAAAAAATGTGTAGTTTACATTTGAAAGTATAGTGCAGTGCATCATATGTCATGTTTTGGTAAAGAACAAATTATTTCTTACCCAACATTGTCTGCCCTGCTTCTTCTCTGGCAACCCTCATATCCCTCAGTCCTCACCCTCCACCTTTGTAGTTAAAGAAATGTCTGTCTGTCTGTCTGTCTGTCTGTCTCTCTGGCTTTCTAAAGCACTAGCAGATGTGTAGGTGCTCATTGTCAAGGCACAGGTAACAAAGATGGACAGGCTGAAGGTCACAGATATGGACATGTATGTCTGCGTATACACAGAGAAGCACTGTGAGACGGACAGTGGGACAGGCAGGTTTAGAGCTGCACTCAAGTGGATGTTTGAAGTCAAAGAGAGAGACAGAATAATTGGCAGGCAGGTAGACGGTAATTCAGTTGGGCTGCTGGCTTTAAATAAAAGTTATCAATTTCATCACATCATACCAACTGTTTTAGTTATTTCTTCTTCTGCATCTAATCTCTAAGTGGTACATCTATGTTTTTTTTTTTTGGCCTCAAAATCATATATGATAAATTCATCCTGTAGAGAAAATTACACCGTTGGCTCACCTCCTCATCACCCCCCCCTTTTCCACACACACCACCAGCACTGCCCCCAGTGGGTAAGCGTGGGGCGGGTGATGTAAGGCAGAGGTGGAGAAGAAGGAAACAACTGCGTCTGAGGTTAGCCAGATGGAGGAGAGGGAGAGGGGTGAATGGATGGAGTGAGGGAATAAAGGAAGAGAGGGAGGCAGGGGACAGAAGTCGACTCATGTGGGCAAACTTAAACTTACCTTTTCCCGGCGTTGACAGTGAGGAGAGACAATAGATCATGGAAAATCTTAACAGTCTGACAGTGGTCTCTAATTTCTTTTTTAACTTGCCCATGCAATTTGCGGCTTCTGCTGCACAGTCATCTGTCTGTCTATGTGTTTGTTAATCTGTCAGAATGAATGATTGACTGTATTTTTTAATTTATGTTTGGTCTACGTGGAAACTGTGTCATCACACCAAAAAATTATATTTACCAAAGCCCGACCCATACTGGATTTTTGGGGTTGATACCTATATTGATCCTTAAAAAAATACATGAACATAAACAAGCATTTTGTAAATTTCAAACAGTCAACGTCATTTAAATTTCTATTCTTTAAATAACTACAGCTCTACAAAACAGCATTCAACTTGAATTTAGAGAAACAAAGTCAAATACACATAAAATGCAGCCTAAAAAAAACCCATCTATTGCCAAAAATGCTGATATATTAGCCAATAAAATTGGCCTGCAGATGCATAGATGCAGAAAATTACGCATGGCAACGGTAAAATAATGCCTTAAATTGTCAATGTGGTAAATAAATTGTGAATAAACAATTACATGTATTTGTATTTGTTTAGGAGCTCTGGATCACATTGTGGTAACAACTCAAGATGGGAAGTTTCCCCTCAACCAGCTGGGTCAGATCTCCATGAAATCACCTCAGTTCATTATGGTCAACATGAGCAGCTTCCCAGAGGTAAGACGATCACACACACACACACACACACACACACACACTAGCACACATATGTACAGATTCTTCCGAGCAGAATCTGTTTGTCTCACGCATACAAGCACACAGTAACTAAAAGCTTTATAAAAATAATCCAAAGCACAGACAGATAGACGGCCCTCACAGAAGGAAAAGTGAGCCAGACCAGAACTCTTAAGCCCACATCTCTGTATAAATGAAACCTGACCTGCCTCTCTCTCTCCAACTGTGTCTCAGATGCTAATTGATTGATCACTCGGGGAGCCCTTTGTTCTGGGGTGAAAGATAGCAACAAGAACCTAAACTCTGTGTGTGCGTGCACTGAGATGTGGTTATGTCTGCGTGTGAGTTGTCACAGAATAGGAAATGACCTCATTTTACCCCCAGGTTAGGAAGGAATGGATTATTTGTCTTTTCTTTTTTTTTTTTACTCCCTTTTTCTCTCTCCCGTTTTTCCTTCTTAGATGATACACCACTGTACTAATCAGAGCTCCAGAAAGAAACTCTGTCCATGGGGGCAACTCACAATTTTAGTGGCCAGACTTTCTGGTGGTGTGGAATATCTACATCTGCTTCTTTTAGCATTTAACATGACATTGTACAACCATATATCCACAGACAGTCACGACAGTTCTCTTTGATCTCATTGGCCATTGAGCCACTATACAGCTACATGGTGCATTGTTTTCATTTTGTTTTGTTTTTTATATCTGATCCTCTTCTCAGAAGATGCAACAAGCTCAAATGTAGATGATAAAATCCACACATTAAGCATACATTTAATATTAAAATTATATGCAAAATACGGTAAACGCAAGACAAACACATGCATAAATATACAATATTTCACTCGGAGACCTGCTTATTGATTAATTGAATGATTGCAATAGTTCAGTCAGAAAACTCACATTTAAAATGTACAAAGAACAACAGGCAGCAGTACTGATGCAGGGCAGCAGTGGCATTGACAGAGCAGAGGGAGAGCTGGGAAATGTTGCAGCTTAAATAGACCGCCAGATTGGAAGGTTGTGTTTGGTTTGTGATTATGGAAAGTGAGGCAGTGCAGCTCGAGTTGAACTGGCCTGAACTAGCTCGCAGGTGTCGCTCCATTAATTAAACATTTTAAAAAGTAGTTTTCAAAGTGCAAAAACTAATGCGTTCAATTAAGTGCAAGAATTAAAATACAGAACAAACATGATTTAAAGGGTTAAGGCTGAGTTAAATGCTCAAGTCTGCATGCTCACAGTGACGATGCCAACATGCTGATGCTAAGCAGGCATAATGGTGTTCACCATCTTAGTAAAGCACCTGAGAATGCTTAACATTTGCTTAACAGGTAATAAACACAAATGGCAGCTGAGGGTGATGGGAATATTAGTTTTGCAGGTATTTGGTCATAAACGTAAGTATTAAGCAAATTAAATGTTTGACCTGGTGATAGTACTAGATGAAAGGTTAAGGAATCACCAAAACCATTACAGTTCATGCCAAGGGGGACGTCGTGTGTGACAAATTTCATGGCAGTCCATCCAATAATCACTCAAAACCACAGATGTGAACCTCATGTCAAGGGATCACCAAAATCAGTAGACTTCATCTTCGGGGGGCCATGAACATCTGTACAGAATTTAGTGGCAATCCAATAAACATTTTGACAGGGTATTGAAGGACAAAACATGACACAGGTGTATTACATTTGCATGTTGGAGGAGCAAAATGTTGCCGGATTCATTAAAACATCACACAAAATGTTTATACATTATTTAAACATCAAAAAACAGCTAAACAATAGAAAGGCAACATATGTGTGATCAAAAAGGAATATTGTATCTAGAATACTGCCTTATCAAAACACGTAATATTAGGAGAGACCAGGGCAAACACCCCTAGTTCAGACTAGGTTCCCAAAGAGGAGACCTTGAGGAATAGAAATACTATTCCACAAGTAGATTCAGGATGAACATATTAGGAAAATATTGGGGAACAATTTCTATATAGAAAAAACTATTTTACAAAGATATCATTTTGTTGTAGAAAAAAAAAGAAGGTTAAGGACAGAGATAGAGGGTAGATGTATAGTATCTATGTACTATAGATGATAAATTCAAAGGAAGGGTTTTAAATCAAAATTTAGGCCAATATTAGGTCCGACTTTTTCTAGAAAAAGAGGGAATAAACTGCATGAGCAGCCTGAATGAAGTGTGCTGTAACGTGTAGGTAATAGTTTTTACATCTGTTGGAACTATAATGCTCCGCTATATGTACCCTAACGGTGTGCTTAACTTTGCCCACAGACTATTTGCCACATGAGCATGAGATGGTGTAAATAACACCATTTGTGGTGCAAGAGTAAACTTCTTCTTACCGCGCTGTTTAAAATCGGTACATTTGAAAAGTACTGTTGCATTTCACACAAGCACCGCATTTGTAATTCCCATCCGGGATGGGGGCAGGCATGAGCTGTGACTCTGAGTATTTTGAGGAGGCAGGTCTGAATGGGCTAGAACGTATCATGAGAAAACCACTTGGGGGGGGTCATTGAAAACAAGTGAGGGTCAGGCTTAATCATATTCAGCACAGCGGTATTACTCAGAGATTACTCAGGAATTTAGTTCTACAAGAATTCAAAGATATTAACCAGTTTTCAGTCGCATGGACGACATTCAAAAGCAGTTTGTTCTTGCGGAGAACCACCCATCTGTTACAACAAAAAACTGTTTTCATTCCATCATCTTCTATTTTTCTACCGGTCACCTTCTGTGAACCTGAAGAGTGTGGTTTTACCTCTTTGTTCTCTTTTGTGTTGATATCACAAAACAACATGCAAATCTTAAATATCGGGGTCTCAAATCTGGGAATCCAGTCTTCAACCTGAATCGGGCTGAATGGTCCTTCGGTGAGTCTGTTTCCTTCCCAGGAACTCCGACCACAGACCACACACACACACACTGACAGACACACGCTACCTTGTCGTGCCCTACGTTACCCATGTCCCACACAAAGGTGAGTCCTCAGTACCCAGAGCTAATAGGCTTATAATGATGCCTATCCATTACCAGGCACTCCAGAGGCCCTAGCATTGTTTTCCATTCATTCATTAAGAGTAGCCTGGGAAGGCACAGTGGAACTAACAACAACTACTGGCATGCTTAGATCAGGAGGCAATCTGGTGTGTGTGTTTTAGGATGAGTGTATATGTGCATTTAAGCATGCCACCACTGTGTTCATGAAGTGTTTTCTTCAGGACTCTCGCACACATTCCTCTCCGCCCGCTCAACTCTTTGCTTTGAACTGGGCCGGCAAGCGTTTGATGTGAAACTTCAGTGTAATTTCTCTCCCTTTCCCAACATATTAACCAGAACCCGCCTGGCCTTTCCAGAGAAATTCTGCTTCCCCCCCCTGTAACCACCGAAGTGGTCATTGGAGAGAGGAAACGGTGATGAATTTGATGCTGAGAACAATCAAACATAGGTATGGGCTGAATCTATCACCCCACGCTCAAAGAGAGCAACCAGAGGGCCTGTGCTCCGGATGACTTTAACAAAGGAAAAGAAACTAAACCTCATGAATTCATTTAATGCGCACAAATAAATTCCTTTAATCTCGCTCCCATTTCTTTCCCCCAGCGGAAAAGGCCAGAAGGAGCTGTTGAGAAAGGGGAGTAGAGCAGAAAGTGGGGAAAAAAGGAAATGTAATGCTCTTTTTTTCATCACATTGCACATTTACACACTTTGTAAAGCTCAGCTAAGGGAATTGTCATGTGGTTGCAGAATTGGTTTGAGGAGTGTGACTTTGTTTTCAGTGATTCAAAGGATTTGGCTTTATGCACCGTTTAACTCTTGTTCTCTGGTTCTGATGTTGTATTTGCTGGACTAAAGGATTGTGTTGTATATGGTGGATCAAGTTTTTATGTCTCACACATGTGAATCCTGTTTTAATATTTACCATTGAGTCACATGCAAGCTTCTTTTTTTCTGCCTGCCTGCCAAACAAACAAATACACTTTTAAATCAAATTCCAGAGGACTCTATTCTATTCTACTCTCAATTAACTGATATTATCCAAGTATTGTGTGATTGTAGAACAACATCTTTGTCTGATCCCATCTTGTGTTGAGATATCATTTAGCCTTTACAGGCACAGCTGCCTCTCCAGCCAGTGTCCACATTGACACTGGATCGCTTGTTCCCATCACAAAACACAAAATGCTCTTCTTTTCATTTCCCTCTGATTATCTCCATCCTTTAAAAAGATGACAGATGGTGTTTGGGAAATATTAGTTTCTCCCCCCTAACTTTTTCAATAGCCCATGTTAGACAACAGCTGAGGAGAAGGGAATATTCTGCAGATGTTTTGACAAATTTGCAGGAGGCAGGCAGTTATTCTGTGTCCCAAATCCATGCCTATCCTCACTATCGATTTATTTCTGTCGGTGTAGATGCTCAGTAAACGTGCATTTTCAGTTTTATTTGTACATTTTATTATTTACACCTGTTTTTTTCTGCTGTGGGATGTAACGTTGTCTTTTGTGAAAAAGGTTTAGTAAGGCATTGATGACCTACATCCATCAAAATTCTTAGTAACACTAGTGTTGAATGCATTTATTGTTCACCCAAAGAAAACAACCCTAACAATTGGATATTCTATTACATGCTTCTGCAGCACACCTTCTTCATTGCTTTTCAGTTAATAGAAATAAATAGAATTGAATTAATGTTTTCAGTCATTCAGATAAATGGTCAGTTCGTAGATATAAAAGGATCAATTTAAGGTAACAAAAATATTTTTATTTTTATTTTCAGGTTATTATACACTAATGGAAACATATTTATATATATTATATTCCATGTCTGTCATATCCTGTAAATAGAGCCCCATAAATCCTTTTCTCATCTCATCAGAATATATTCAATTAAACATTTGATCCAAAAATGAACACATACACACACGTGCTTTAAGTTTGTGTGTGTGTTTGTGTATCCATGTATCATACACAAGCACAAGCAGACTCTCCTGTGAGGTCACCGTGGGTCAACGCCCTGCCCTGCAACCTCTCAGTCCTGTCCCACAGGGCCGAGCGCTGACAGTGGCCCGAGGCACTTCCATACGGCATGGGCTTCCCCAGACACACACACACACATACATACACACATAATATACACACCACAACACCTTAATGATTACCAGCTGGAGGAGCTGAGCCACTACCTGCAGTTGTAGTGCTGCTTTTCCATTCACACCAGTGTGTGTGTGTGTGTGTGTGTGTGTGTGTGTGTGTGTGTGTGTGTGTGTGTGTGTGTGTGTGTGTGTGTGTGTGTGTGTGTGTGTGTGTGTGTGTGTGTGTGTGTGTGTGTGTGTGTGTGTGTGTGTGTGTGTGTTTGTGCCCCCAGGCTATAAAGGCTGCCATCCATGCCCTGAAAGAAAGTAGCATGAACCTTAACCCAGAGGTGGATGGGACGATCATCAAGGTGCCCGTTCCCAAGTAAGTTTCTTTCTCTCACACACACAGCCCCAAGAGTAGAAACACTTTCCTGTTTTTCGATCTTACACTTTTACTTTTCTTCAATCGTTTCCCCATCACTACTACTTAATATAAACATGTATTATAACTTCTTTGAGCCCTGAGCCCATTGGGTGATCTAATCAATCAATCACTCGTCAAAATGTTAATTGATAATAATTTTTACACATTCAAGTTTTCTTTTTTATTTAGACAAAATAAATTAGTTTATGACATCTTTTTTATGCTCTGTTAACCTTTGACAGACATTTTACATTATTTTTGAGATTTTATCGACTAAGTTATTACCCAATAAATCAATGAAATAATCAATACATTATGTAAATGGTCATGGCTTAACCTTACAGTAAGTCTCATCCATGGTTTTGAATTGCTCCCCATTAATAAATCCCCCTGTCTAAGTTATAACTGACAGATTTATTGACTTTTGTCTGTAGATGTATAGAGACCCCCAGTGTGTTGATGTGAGGGTCGGGTCACTCTCTCTCTCTATTCTGGCCATACCTCTCTCACTCACTCTCTCTCTTTTTCTCTTTGCCAAGTCAAACAACCTCACACAAAACTATCCGTCACTCACTCAGTAAAGCGCTCTATGTGTATATACTGTATGTTTTTTTACATATACACACATGTGCATGTAAGTATCCACGCATAAATGCCGGCCTGTGTCTGTGTGTGTATGTGTATGTGTATGTGTGTGTGTGTGTGTGTGTGTGTGTGTGTGTGTGTGTGTGTGTCTATGTCTGTGTGTGCGCGCACGCACTGGAGCAGCAGGTGTTAGTCTGGCAGAGGAGGGAGACAAGAGTCAGACTGCTTTCCCCCTGCAATCAGTCTCGGCACGCTCCGAGCCTCCATTTGCATTTCCAAAGAGAAGGCGCTCCTTGATTGGCCCTGGAATCAGTAATTAGGCCGTATTGTTTGCGGTAAATAGACGCTGCACTTGGATTGTTTGCAAATAGTCCCCGAGGCAAAAACAACGAAAAAAAGCCAATTAAGGACAAAGGGGGAGAGTGAAATGGGAAGTAGGATTTTCTGAGTGATTAACGAATGCAAAGTGAATACAAAGTTGTCGGTATGACGGATGTTTCAGCTCTGGTCTGAGACCTCGGCGAGTGATTGTCGTTAACTACAAGTCCGAACTAAAATGATTAGACTTCGGACCTACAAGCACTTAAAGTTCTCATTTGCACAAGTGAGGACATTACTTTTTTTTTTTATCATTTTATCTCTGCACTGTTATGTGTTTTATATTTTCCACAGAGGACCGATCAAGAGTCTGACTGACTCTTTTTAGGTCTCTGTGTGCAGTTTGAAGGCATGTTGAAAGTTTTGCCTAGTTTATCTTATTTTCCTAGATGTCTGATATCAAGTGCTGTAGAAAAAAAAAAGTACACTTTCCAGTCCCTCCAGGCTTTTCCTTGGGGGGGATTGTTGCAGCCGAAAACGCCAGATTTAATTGCAGCTTGTCTAAAAAATTGCTACGCATGTTGTGATGTGTGTTTTTTTTTTTTTTTTTTTTGCTATGAAATTGCATGAGAAAACAAAAACATAGCAAAAATAGTTGCTTTTTAAAATTATTCTTTAAATATTGAAGGCAACTTGTTCATACATGTCTGCATTGTCTGCAGCAAGGAACAAGGAAGTTTGGCTCAACGTTTTGTGAAGGAAACTACAATGATCGGTTACGTTTGCAGAAAAGTTGCAGTGATTGAACGAAAGGTCACACAGGATTCGTGGGGATTGGTTGAATTTGCTTTAATTGTTGCAATTGCACCTTCCTGGAGGGACGGCATTTCTCCAACACTGAGAGCTTAACAATCCTTTAATAAACATTTAGTGTACAACCCATAGACATCAGTAAAGCTAAGCTATATCAGCAGCCAGAGACATAAAGGGCACAGATGAGTTTTTTGTGTGTGGATCCTTGCTTGGTATAATCCTTTTGACTGTATCCCAGTGGTTCCTACCTTCTCTGCTTTGTTTCTTACTCTTTTGGTCTCCTCTCTTTTCCCCTCATATCCACCTTCCCCTGCAGAGTAACGCGGGAACACAGAGAGACCCTGGTGAAGCTGGCCAAACAGCTCAGCAACAAGGCAAAAGACTCACTGAGGAGAGTACGATCTAATGCCGTTACACAGGTCAAAAAGGCAAAGGAAGTACACTCGGAGGATACCATACGACTAGTAGAAAAACAGGTAGGAGACGGGGAGAAAAAGACAACAGGGCTATTGCACATAGATGCAGAGGCGTTCATTGAGCTTCATAAGTAATAGATCAGGCTGACGGAAGGAAGTTTTAAAGGAAGGTTGAGATGACTAGCTAGATGCTACAGATGATTCAGGGAGGTAACTGATAACTAGAGCTTACTAAGACCTGAAACGATTGTAACCGCAGCCCAAAGCACCCAAGGCTACAGCTTTCTCTAAAGGGAAATTATAACTAAAGAATGAAGTCATTTCCTAATAGTTGCTTTCCAGTTGTAGTATTTTACTGTTATTTGTGAGTTGGAACCAAAGTGAGAAGTGAATCATCGGTCCTGTCTCGATCCATCACATCGCAACTACATAATGTTATCATTTACTAGACATACGCTACAGGGAGGTAAGAAATGGTCCCAAAAGATGTATTCAAAATGGTTTATCCATCTTTCCTCTCTGCCTTCACAGATTCAGCAGTTGTCGGACAACATTGCAGTGGACATTGACAAACAGCTTGCAGCCAAGACCAAGGAGCTGTTAGGCTGACTGTGACAATGATAAGAAACGAACCCACAGATGGACACACATAACAGAAGCAACGTGTCATTCTTGTCGTGTTAATAATAGACAGTTTTTTGATGAGGTCTGAAAGCTTTAAACAGAAGAACATCTTTCGGGACTGTTGTACAGTGTTTTGGTACGCCTGGCAGAAACTGGGCCCACATCGCTGGCAAAGATCTGCCCCTCGCTGCTGGGTGATATCTGTGTTTAACCGTCGGTGCATAAACAGAAATTGGCACGGAAACAACAACAACGACAGACTGCCAGTCACCTCCCTCCTCCCTTGTTACTCTTCCTGTCTTCAAACAAACACCAAGCGAGGGACGAATGGACTTTTAATGGGATTTGCGGGCCTCCTCCTAATCAAACCCCTTGCCACAAGGGCCGTCTGTTTATATAAAACAAGCGCACCCGTCTGAATGTAAACTGGCTGCGGGTTTGTCTTGGTGGCAAGAGCGAGAGAGAGAAAGGGAGAGAGAGTTTGTTCCAGAGACGCAGGATATCATTAGCGTGTTGCCAAACATTTGTTTCGCATTGATTCAAAGTCTGTTAAAAATGCACTTGAGAAAAAAAAAAAAGGGCCTTTAATTTCTACCCATGTCTAGGATTGATAATATGGCTGCTCTCTCGACAATAAAGCCGGGAAAGGAACATTATTGATGGACTCCATTAAAGAAACACTGCTTTGTACCATGTGCGTCATCTTTCTCGCTCTTGTTTTCTTTTCTTTTTCTCCACTTTTGGTTTGAAGTCGCCCCCCTCCTCCATTAGTCAGAGTGATAATGGACTTTTCCTGTGTACAGATCTCCAGGCCCTGGCTGCTGGCACCGCAATTGTCCATTAGGAAACTTTTTTTTAATGTTGTGCACTTGGCCCCCTTTGTCTTTCAATTGCTGCACTTTTAAAGCCACGGTCAGAGATTGCACTACGAGTAGTTGTTCAAAGTGACAAGAAATGTTTGAATGGGAAAACCTACTCGGCGACACACTGCATGGCTCTGCTTTCATCTCTCCCCTGTTTACACCAGCTAGAGGCTTCTCTGTACTATTATGTGGTCCGTGTCTTCATCTTTATCATGATTTGTTTTGCTTCCTCTGCTACTGGTCGCAGGCAGCCCACATGGCAGACAGGTTTAATTTAAATGTTTGCCCACACACTTGGTCTTATAGTCACCCAGTCATTTGATGATTACAGCGCTGTAACATTGCAAACTACTAATTACATCTATCAAAATGCTTTCTGATGTCTTCTAAATGGAAAAAAAGCAATTTAGCTTTAGTGACAATGCAGATTCAGTGGTGGTTTTAGTCATCTTTGGTGTTTTGGTACCAGCGCTAAGTTGCACGCTACAGATTGTGGCTTTATTACATTTGCCTAGGCCCTCTGTCTCCCTGAATGGCTTTGCTTTAATGGCCTAAACAGACCGGAGTCATTGGATAAACAAGAGTTTAGCAGAGGAGTGGCCGGGTCGGGACAGGGGAGGGGAGGGGTGGAAATGGCAGGTTTTTGTGGTGATTCTAGGTCCATATGTCAGCAATTTGAGGGCATTGTGTACCTTGGCCTAAAACAGAGGCTTCATGATCGATGGAGGGGTGAAAATCTCCCAAGTCCCTGGCGCAGAACACAGGCAAGCACGAGGAAATTGCTTTCAGCTGATAGCTTCATTTTGGTTGACATTTATCAAGTGAATTACCCCTGTTCCTTTCAAATGTTTACTACTACTAGCACCGCCTTTTGACGTACGTGTGTGTGTGAGACTGCATTTGTGTGCGAGAGAGAGAGAGAGCAATAGAGGTTCGTCTTTGTGGAAGTTGTGCTGTGTCCTTTGGCGATTCCTCGCAAAAATATACAAGTGTAAATTAGTTCAGTAAACGTTTGATTTGATAGTCTAGCCTTTTATATAGCTGCCGGTGCATTTGAGGAAAGCTAACCAGTTACACATTTTCAACTTATATTTTTAACTCACAACAAACTCGTAGTTAGTATTTTTTACTAAAAAAAGCATCAGTATCTGATTCTTGAATGACAGAAATGCATTTATCACAGGGGTTAAAGGACCAGCGTGTAGGATTTAGTGTCATCTAGTGGCGTAGTTGCAGATTGCAACCAACTTGCCTCACGAAACACCCTATGTAGACCCAGTGTTAGTGTCAGTGTAGTCTGTTCTCGGCAACATGGCGCTTCAACATGATGGCCTCCATGAAAGACAACTTACTCCCTCTGCAGATAAATTCTCATTTTAAGGTAACGAAAACACGATTCTACACTAATGGAAACCTACATATAAATATTATATTCCATTTCTGCCAATATACCCTCCTAAATGTTACACACTGGACCTTTAAAGCAAGACCTTTGCAGCTATTTATATTTGGCTAATTAGCTGCAACAGTGACCTTTATGGGATAATGGTGAGTGTTAAAATATAATGTAACCGTAACATGAGAGTCATAAATCAATTGACTGACTCAGAAATGTCAGTTACAGCATTATCTAGCATAATCTTTGCCAACATTAGCCAACATAAGCTACTGGTCATACCAGATCAAGTGAGGCTTAAGCAGTAAAGAGTGTATTAAATTGAGCAAGAGTGCATTTAGTTCTGAATTCTAGTCTCGCTTTAAAACATCAAGAGAGGGATTTTTAAAAGTTGCAGTGTGCTTACTGGATCCAATTTCATCCCCTTTACTGTATTCAGAAAACATAAATATCAGATACAAGATTACAATTTAAACTCGTATTGGGGGACAAAAAAACAATCAAAATCCATTGAGTGTTTCTCTTTATCTCAGTTTCTCCATCCTCTCTTCATTTTACCGCATATCCCCATATCCCTGTTCTACTTCTCAATATCTGTACTTTTCATGCAGATTTCATGACTTGCATTATTCATACGTTTTGAGAGAAGCTTGCCACCATTGTCTCATACTAGTTTGCCATAAAAGAGCAAGCATTACATTGTTGTGTGTGTGTGTGTGTGTGAGTGTGAGTGTGAGTGTGAGTGTGTGTGTGTGTGAGAGTGTGAGAGAGAGAGAAGAGAAAGAAGAGAAAGGATGTATATATGATTCCCCTCCGCGTCCCGTCTTCCCTTTGTGTGATTACACTCTGTACATCAAGCTGCGATGCTCCTGCAGCAGCTGAAGCGCTGAGGAGGGCCGGGGGGGACACAGAGCCGACCACTTCAGCATAGAAAGAATTGGATTGATCCCCCACACACACACACTTCTTATTCCCTCCTCCTCTCTCTCTCTTTTCTCTCTCTCTCTCTCTCTCTCTCTCTCTCTCTCTCTCTCTCTCTCTCTCTCTCTCTCTCTCTCCTTTCTCATCACCTCTGGAGTGTTAAGAGCATCAGAGTGTGAGAAGCCACCCTGAAGATCTCATCAAGGATCCAATCAGCGCACAAATACGAAATGCACTCTCCTCTTGCGACTTGATGATGGGGGGAAAGACATCGAGAGAGCCTGTCTGGACAGAAAATCTCTGCATATGCAAATTGAACTAAAGATTTAAATGGATTTGATGTTCATAAGAGTATCTCTGACCCTTTCGGGGGTGTAGTAACAAGCTTGCAGGAAAAGAATATGTGCAGATTAGTCTATTAATATTTATAGATGTAATTGGTTGAGCTGTGTGGCATGAGGCCTTCTCTGTGCCTGGTGTAATGCAGACCACGTTTAGGCCTAATCCAGGTGGGCGCTCTTACTGCCTCTAAAAGGGAAATGGCCGGCCATTTTAGGAGGAAGCTGGATATCCTAATAATCAGGTAAACTAATACCGGGCGGTGAGAGTGTTTCCTTCCGGAGTTCTTGGCACGTCAGTCATTCACAGAATTGCTCCTGTCTGGTCTGCGAGCCATTTTAACTCGATGGAACGTGCGCTCTTTCCCCCCTATGTACATTTAGATAGGACCACACGGGCCCCTTTGGATAGCTTCTACACCCACGAGGAGGCTCCCCAACCATCATAGGGACCAACCAGACGCTCCAGCTCACACACCTCCTGCTTCTCAAATCTGAACAAAGCGTTCCTCAGTCTAAAGTGGTTAAACTGTCATTTCAAATCGTCTGGACATCGTGATTACCGGCATGGGAGGAATTATATATTTAGCTTTGTGTCCGTCGCCATTTCCTCCCCCCGCCCTGATCTGAAGTGACTAGCCAGTAGTGCCCTCGATATTACTATCTCTGAGGAGTTTAAACCTTCCCCCAGGAGACAAGTGTAATCAAGGGCTGCCAGCAGGAGAGAGGGAGAAGGCAAGAGAGAGAGAGAGAGAGAGAGAGAGAGAGAGGGAGGGAGAGAGGTGAGGTGTGGGGTGGGTGGTGTTGGAGGCCTGTAGTGATGGGATGGTGGAGGGAATGACAATTGACCCAATTTACAAATACGTCTAAATCCATAAAAAAAAATACAGAAGTACTCAGTCGCGTCTTATTTAAAGTAAAATAACAGAAAATAAGTTAAAGAATATGTCTGGCTTGACCTGCTGTTTATTGACATATTAAACATTGTTCATAGAATTTTGTCAGGCTCTCTGAACAATATTAAAATAATATCCTCCCTTTTTTTATGAAAGTATTTTATTTTTATGTTAACTGTTAAACTAAAGACACTTCTTTTTGTCCAAATACTGGTAGAAAAATGTTTCATGTCATTGATGCAACAGGTGAAATGTGTAGCAAATTTGATTAGGATACAAAAAATATGATCATTTTCAACCTTTGCAAAAATCTCTTTGTCATGTAATTTTCTTCTTTTATTGAGGCAAAGAGTCATGTTTTTCTTACAATAAAACTAATTTAAAAAATCTGCTATTCCAGAAGGATCATTTTAACTTTTTTCCAATACAAATTCAAGTGAGTGTATTGACAGAATCAGGCAGATGGCTGCACTAGAGTCAGTTTTTGATTCTAGAAGATTCATGCATCAAGTTAATTTGCACTGGAATATCTCCCTGCATTGGCATACTTTTTCCCTTATTGTAAGAAAATAAGACTTTCAGGGTTCAATAACATACAGACAAAATGTATTTGGGCAGATGGAGCAATAACCATTTCAAGAAAATTCAACTCCCATGCACTGCAGTTGAGCAAGAGAAAACAAAAACGCGGGGTGGAAGCTGCTGAATGTAAGGAAAATGCATGTGCACATACATATAGACATACCATTCTTTTGGTAGTAGTTTATTGACTAATTGTTCAGAATATTTTTAATATTTTTCCTAAATTGCTTCCACAATATACTGCTAAAAAACAACAACACCCCCTCAGTAAATCCACCCCCAAGCCTCCAGGATCTCATCCATCCTGAAGACTCATTCATCCTCAATAACGTCACCGCTTGCTCATAAATAAAAGTGAACGTTAGGCAAGCAGATGAACGCAGCCAACGGATTGGACAGGAAGCCAGTTAATCTGCAATCCAATCCGGCCCGAGTCTAGTGAAACCCGGCTCAGCTTGGCTGACCGAGGCCTGGGAGGAAGGAAGTGAAGGACTCAGGAAACAGTGTTCAGAGCTTTCACCAGTCATATCCATCACAGTGCACGGTGATAGAAGCGTGTGTGTGTGTGTGTGTGTGTGTGTGTGTGTGTGTCCGTTTCACCAGTCATATCCATCACAGGGCTCTGTCTCCAGGCCTGGGCAAGAGAACTGGAGAGTCATTAGAGGGGCTGGGCTGCAGGCTGCAGCGCTGCACT